TCCTTTAGAATTGATAGGTTTGTCCGCCTTGCAGTCCAGGGGACTCTCAATAGCCTCCTCCAGCACCACAGTTCAAAGGCATCAATTCTTCGGCAGTCTGCTTTCTTTATGGTCGAGCTCTCACTTCCATACATCACTACAGGAAAAACCATAGCTTTGACTATTCGGACTTTTGTTGGCAAGGTGATGTCTCTGCTTTTTAGGATGCTGTCAAGGTTTGTCATCGCTTTCCTCCCAAGAAGCAGGTGTCTTTTAATTTCGTGGCTGCTGTCTCCATCTGCAGTGATCATGGAGCCCAAGAAAGTAAAATCTGTCACTGCCTCCATATCTTCCCCTTCTATTTCCCAGGAGGTGATGGGGCCAGTGGCCATGATCTTAGTTTTTTGATGTTGAGTTTCAGGCCGTTTTTTGCACTCTCCTCTTTCACCCTCATTACAAGGTTCTTTAATTCCTCCTCACTTTCTGCCATCAGAGTGGTAAGTCAGAATTACCTTTATTTATTTATTTCATTTTTATTTGTTTTGTGTTTCTTGTTGATATTCATATTCATGACAATTTTCTGGATAAATTATTTGCAAATGCCACAGAGAAATACGAAAATTAAGTACTTACTGTGGTATAAATTCTTGTGCTTTACATCCCACCTCATTAGATTGCCTGCATGGGGTACTCTAGGAATGGATGGCATCCAAAATATGGACAAGGCTTAGCATCAGCAGAATCTTGGTTTCAGTTGTTGAATATGGGTTAAAAATACATTAAAATGTATTTGCAAGCAATGTCCTCAGGAGACAAGTGGAAAAGGGGACATTTGATATAACACAAATAAAGGAACAGCAGAGGCCCTTGACCTTTTTTCCTTCATGCAGTGAGGCTAGAACCTAATGCAACTGGTTAAGTGCTGTTTTTCAGAGCTTATCATATAAGCCTTTAGAGTCTGAAATTACGAAGCCCTTTTATTTCCTTTCAGATGTCAAAGCCGTTCGGCTCTTATAAGACAGTTGAAATGTTACTCTTGAATACTAACATAAACAATATGCCCAGATATCTTCCAGTAATGTCCAGCCAAGACAACAGCTGCCTCCTGACAAAATTAGTTTCTAATAACATAATGCAGACTAGAGGGAGAGCCCAAAATGCATTGTAGCTGTCATTACTTTGAAGACATTATCTTGGCATACAGTATTTACCTTATTTTGCAAAGATGTATTTTAAGCACGCCTTGTTCCTCACCATTTGATTCTGCTATGAAAAGGATCCTGCAATAAAGCTGCTACTGTTTCCCCGAAAATAAGACCTAACCTGAAAATAAGCCCTAGTAAGATTTTTCAGGATGCTCGTAATATAAGCCTTACCCAAAAATAAGCCCTAGTTAAGTGGAACCCTGCCCTCCACCATTGTGCAGCAACCACAATATGACATGACTGTAAATTAAAACATCCCCCGAAAATAAGCCCTAATGCATTTTTGGAGCAAAAATTAACATAAGACCTGTCTTATTTTCAGGGAAACAGAGTATAGTGGTGCCCCGCTTGACGACGATAATCCGTTCCAGGAAAATCGCTGTTAAGCTAAATCGTCAAGCAAAACAAAACAAAACATTGGAATGCATTGAAAACCAGTCAATGCGTTCCAATGGGGAAGTACCTCATCGTCCAGCAAAGATTGCTCATAGAGAACCACCAATCAGCTGTTTAAAATTGCTGTATTCCGAAGCAGGGGTCCAGAAAGCAGCCGGGTGGAAAGCCATTTTGCGGACCTGGAAAAATCATTGTTTAGCGAACAAACGGTTCGCGAAGCAGGATCCTAATCAACATAATGCGGATTTCCCCCATTGGAACCATAGCGATCACAAAAATCTCAAGCGATTTTGACGTCATGCCGGGTAAGCGTCTAGCGGGGCACCACTGTCGTTCCTAAATTCAGAGCAACTGAAGAACATGTTCAAAGATACTTTGACGTACAGGGTCCTTTACTAGGAGAAAGGCAGGACAGAAACAAAAACAAAAAAAGTTTTCATAATATTAGTTTTCATAATATTCAAGGCAGGGTCAAGATACCAGGCACAAACACTGAACATCCAAAACAATTTATCTCTAAAATAAAATTTCCACTGATTTTCATTCCACAACTAAGTTTTCACCTGCATACCCACTGAATCAATTCCCCTTAAATTAGATTAGGCATCCTTCAGTCTCGAGAGACTATGGTAACGTGCTCTGTATGGAGGTTTTGGAACAGCATCTAGGTTGGCTGATAAGGCCAATTCGAGGGTGATAATCCCTTCCTTGCTGAAGACAAATACAATCTGTCCCGTCCAGCTCCCTGATTTTGCTGTTTTTGTGACTGCCTCTTTGTCTCAGCCTGCTGGACAAGGGTCTCTTAAAATTGGGAGAGGTCATGATGCACTGCCTGCCTCCAGGCTGAACACTCAGATGTCAGGATTTCCCATCTGTTGAGGTCCATTCCTAAGGCGTTCAGATCCCGCTTGCAGATATCCTTGTATCGCAGCTGTGGTCTCCCTCTGGGGCGATTTCCCTGCACTAATTCTCCATACAGGAGATCTTTTGGAATCCGACCATCAGCCTTTCAGACAAATATTCCAAAACTGTACCATGGAAGTAGTCAGGATCAAACTAGATGTCAAAATAGATATTCTTTGCAATTAATACATTTTTCTTAAAACAAAAGTTTTCCTTAAAAGTGGATGCCTTAGCAGTCAGCCTTGCAAAACAGCCCCATATTTACCTTGCAATTATCATTCCGGATGCCTTAGCAGTCAGCCTTGCAAGCCCCATATTTACCTTGCAATTATCATTCACAAAATAAAATACGCTAACCAAAGATGTGGATATTGAACCTGAAAATGAAGAAACAGTTATTAAAATTGTGTTCAACAACAAATTTATTGGGTAATGGTGGGTAAATTTTAAAATTCCTCTTCCCCCCCATGTTCTTTGATTCCAGTCAAAAAGCAAAGGGGTTTCGTGTGTGTGCGTGTGTGTGTGTTTGGATGAAGCAGGAGTTGTCATTCTTTCCTTATTCTGCTTGTGGAAGCAGTTCTATCAGTGGAAATACTGGCTCCACAACATTCCCCTACTCCATTTTTTATCTAAACTAAACTGCATATGAAGACTGGCATTGCTGAACATCTACACTCTCACTGGGGAAAAATCACTCACAGGAATCTAGTATATCGGAGAGCAGGGAACGCCAGAATCTTAATTTTTAAGTTTTTCTTGAAACCTGAAGGTTTGTAAATCAATCAGTTATTTTGGAGCACTAAAAAGCCTTTACTTTTGGGGAGCAATTACATCAACTATCACTTGCTGTCTGAAATACAGTTTGAAAACAACCTATCACCTTTATGAGAATGAGACCCTGATGGCCGGGGCAAACAATGTTTTTTATCAGTTTTGAAAAAAGGAAGCTGATTTTATCATCGATCTATAACAAACATTTTTGTGTTAAGTCAAGTATATTTATAGAGTACACGCACACAAATCTGAAACTGATTTTTTATTTCCCTTCCCAGACACAAATGGTGCCATCTACAAGTATAAAATGACAATTGAAAAAATAAGCTCATAATAAATATTTCATTAAAATGTCAAACACCATTACTGAATTAGAGACAATAAAAGCAACTTTCAAAATATAATTGAAAGCATTAGTTGCATGTGTAAAAGAAGACTTAAGTTTAAAGGTACTTGTTGATATTTTGGCTTAACATCAATGCACTCTAAGTGGAATTTCTTTCAGAATGTTAATATTCTTAATCACCATCAAGTTTCATGCATTAAAATTCTATAGTTTACTAAATACATGCCTTTGCCTTTACCTAAATTTGCTAATTTTTATTCTTATTAAAATTCATTACTCTAAAAATATTCATATATTCATTTACAAATGTATAGAATTTGAAAAGGTAATAAATGTTCTCAAATGTAGCAAATTGTAACTATATGATGAAGATTCAAACCGACACTACAGATCTTCGATATAAAGAATAGTAACAGTGTAGGTGTTCAAGATAAAACAGATATTTTCAAAAATCTGAATAACTAAAAGGCAGAGTATAAAACGAATGGCAATTGACATTAGAAGATGAAATAAAGTTGATTATGCAAACCCATGGGTTTTCCCCCCCTGTGGACATAGATTTTGGAGCCACATACTCCAATAGGCCAGAACATTTTAATTGCACATTCAATTTAATACTTATTATTGTGGTTACAATCTGCCTAATATGCTACTTCAAAAATATTTTGGAATACATACAATTTTTGTGTATTTTCCCTCTAATTTCTGTGTTTATGTGTTAAGTAACTGTACAAAATTCTACATACATACAATTCTTAAAAATCAATACTCATAAAATAGTTTAAAAGTGAAAATTTCACCCCACCCCAAACTAGCTTCCGTTACTGTAATGTTGTATATCTGGAAGATCTCTCACTCCTTTTCAAAAGTATGTCAAATTATTTCTTGTTTAAACAAGAAACAAGGCCTACACAGTAGCTGACAGCTGCAGGGGTAGCACTACTGTCAACATGCACAGAAGTTGGTATGTTTCTTGCAGAAACACATAATATACTATTTTTCATAAAGAACTCTCTACAAAATGGGATTTCTTTTATTTGATTGGTTCTTTTTCATGAAATCTAGCACTAGAAAATCATATTCTACAGGCTGAGATTCACTGTCTCAGCACTTAGTTTACCACCACTCAAGCTGTGTATCATTGCTATCATGTGAGAATGTTTATTCAGTTCTTCTTGCTGGAATTTGATTAAGGCCTCCTTTTCTTCAAGTCGTCCATCCAACTGTGACTTCTGAACTTCCAAAGAAGATGCCTAAAGATACATATCACATACTGTTCAGGTCAAACTCTCCAACATGCATACTTTGTAAACTGGAGGAAACTCAGATTTAATTCCTCTATCACATCACCACATGGTTAAGAAAAGTGATTAGCATAATATTTAAATTGGGAAACCATAGCCTACAACTGTGCTGAAAACAAGTGAGGTACAGTGTTTAAAGTACTGAACTAGGACTCTGGAGACTTGTGTTCAAATCCTTGCTTGGCCACAAGGCTGAGTGATCCTGCTTAGTCACTGTCTGAATCTGACCTACATTACAAGGCTGTCATAGGATTAAAGAGGGAAGAACAGCCAGTATCCTTGAGCTTTAGAGAAAGGAGGCATATAAAAAGAACAAACTGGATCTGTTTGCTAACCAGCATTGCTGTTCACTACATTTAGATGTGACATCTTAACTGGCAAACTAGAGTTATGCAAGTGCTTTTAAACCATTATTTGCCTGTTACAGTAGGACCCTCGTATCTGCTGGAGATTGGTTTCAAGCCCCATTGTGGATACTGACAACTGGATACTGATCCTGCAGATACAGGCATTCTATTGTATATGTCTCTAGATGACAAACCACAGATGACTGATACATAAAATGAGTCTATGCTCATATGGCTGTTAGGGAAAAACTCACCACAGAATCTTACAGAACATGTATTTAATGAAATTATTGATGAGCATGAATCAATCCAGCCTTGTTTACTCACAGTAACATCAGTACAAACAAGCAAGCCAGAAGAGTCTGCTTTTTAGTTCATTGTTCAATCCAAAAGGAACAATTCATAAAGTGGAAGCACACATCTCCATAACTGGGGCTTATTGCCATATGTTGTTTTTTAAACAGGCATGCTTTTGCCAGTAATACCAACGGATGTGATAATTCATAGAGAAGGAAAATACACTCCCAAATTGCAATCCAAAGTGACCAGAATATTTTGAGAAAACTATGATTTCAATTTTAAGAAAAACATTCACTACATTTAGAAGCAGAGTGCCTCACTTTTATCTACCTTAGTATCTAGCTTGTAAAACACAGAACAATGAAAACGTACCACTTGCTTCAAGTCCCATTCCTTGTTATTTTACTTATAGTACAATACTATAAAAGTTAAAAATAAAAGTTGCATTGAGTTCAGTGGGGCATACTCATTTGGAAATGAATATAAGATGACAGCTTCCTCCTACACCATTTACACAGTAGTACTTGCAACAGCAATGATCACCAGTTCAGTACTTTTAATTTCTTTTTCTAAATATGGCATAGATTCCCCCCAAATAACTTACCTTAATGCTCAGTTCTTTTCTTGCCTGTTCTGTTTTGCTCAATTCTTTTCTAAGAACATCTATGGTCTCCTCCATATCTGCTTTTTCCTTCTGCTTGACTCTCAATTTTTCTTCCTGAACTTTTGCCTTTTGTTGTAAACCTTTTGAAGAATTTTGAGAGAAAAACTTGAATTCTTTGCCAGATACCAGAAAAGCAACCATCAACATTTCCTCAGGGCTACTATTAAATTAGCTAGACAGCACTGCCACCTACTGAATGGCTGTCATTTGATATATAGTTTTCGGTGTTTCAGTATCCAAGCAAAGATACATTTTGCACTCTGTTGCAGAAACATGCTGAGACATCTGATCTCAAAGGGATAACACAAGAGTTTTCCTGCTGTCAAAGCTTATTTATGGTAAATTCAGAAATACTGCTATGTGAACCTGAAAAAAAGAATCACAATTTATTCTAGGAAGCTGCTTGTATTAAATTAATTACTGTAACCACAAGTTGTTCACTACATGAGCAGTACGGACTGTAGCTGCAACAATTATTGCTGCCTTTTGAACCATGAACTACCATTCTTCAGAGAGATGAAACAGTCACTGATGATATTGGTACAAATCTGCAGTTATGACATACACTGAACATTCCCTATTAGAGAACTCCCATTTACCAGCACTGACAACATTCCTGCATCATTACAGCATGCTGAGCTGAAGCTTTGGCCCTAGGCCTAAAACATAAAATGCTGTTCTTCAACAAAGGAAGAACATGTGAATCAACAAAAGATTCCAAGCTACTGCAATAGTACCAATGTTACAGAAGAGCAATTGGAAACTGCAAGTTACAATTGGGAATCCATCTATCAAAAGAAGTTACATTATTTGAGTATGCCCGTAATGGTCTGTTTCTTGAACTAGCATAAGTTTTTTGTATGTCCACAGCAATCCCCTTGGTTTACAGTCTTACTAGGGAGATTCAAAGACAGACACTGATGGACCTAAGCCATTAGGGCAGGTGGAAGGGCTTATTTTTTAAGCTTTGCTTTTTTGTTTTCTCCCCATTAATTACATTAGTTCTGTTTAGTGAAAAGGCTGCATGGATGGTGGAGACACATGTGAACTTTGTACCCTCTCCCCAAATGTTGCCGGCCCACCCAGACCTTCATAAGAGCACAGATCCTGTGACCAGAAACCATAACATCAGATGAATGTTCTTACATGCTCTGTTTCATTCAGGTGAATGGCATGAAGGTCTGAATGACTTCCAGGAGGTGTACGACATGGGCACAGGTCTCCACATCGCCATTACCCATTCAGCCTTTCCAAAGTTTCCGGAATAATGTCTGAATAGACCTACTGCTTCCTTCTGTTGATGTCTAAGGAGTGAAGTGAATTATGCCAGCTCCACAGTTGGTCTCATTCTCCATCATTCCACATAATTTCATGTACTGCCCTCATTCACTTCCCTTCTTTTTGTGCTCCCTAGCATAAGGGAAACAGCTGCAGATTTTTCTTGTGGCTGAAAGCTGACACACAACATTTGCCCTTCCGCTCCAAAAGTAGATTAAGGTCTCTAGCATTATAGAAGATGCAGAAAATCTTACAATGACTGGGATACGGTGCCCTTCAGGTAACATAGGACTGCAGCTTTCAAAGAGTAACAAATACATTTTGCAGATCTGAACTGTAAAGCAACACACCTAAGAAAGTCAGAATTCTTCAGCACTTACTTGATATTTTCGCATCTTTATCTTGCAACTGTTTGTGCAACTCTTTTCTATGCTCTTCTGTTTCTAGCAACTGAGCAACCGTTCTGAAAAATTGAAAGACACAGCAGTAAGGAACTTCCAAGAGCCAGCCTTTATAACCTTGGGCAAGCTGAACAGTCCCAGACTGCCCCCAGAAGAAAAGAATAGCAAATCACTTCTTAGCATTCTGCACCTGGAAAATCCTTGCAGAGGGTCACCATTAAGTCAGATTTGACATGATGGCACATACTTATTAAAAAGAATGAACAAGAAAAGTCTTTCATCAACATTTAACCATTACTTGAGCTTACTATTTAAAAATCAGTTTTCTATTCCCCGAATTCATTATCCTTTAATCAATGAAATAATAAAATGTTTCTACATATTCTAAAGAATTAGAAACAAATGTTCCATAAAATAAAGGCAACGAATAACCACCATTAAAATTTGCAATTTATGATCTTGCACTAGAAGTTGCTATGTAAAAAAAATTGTTTTTGTTTTTTATTAGTTCTATTTAAACAATCCTGCAGATGTATAATTTTTCTTTATCTTACTTGACATTCAAACTTTATACATTAGAAAGTCTCATAAAATAACCACAGATCTTATCTTACACTTTTACTGTAAGGTAAGATTGTGGCATTGTTCTTTTCCACTGCCATTAACGTCAGCTGGGTTTTTCCCCTTCCAAAACCTATGTAAGGAAACAACAAATGAGTCTAATTGTGAAATAACTGTATGAACACAGAACCACCACCACCATATTCTTATTTGTTTGAATAGGAACCCGGCTATATGCACTAAAAAAAGAGAATTGGATTTGAATTTGTCAATTCAGAACAGGGGCATTTACTATGTGTTACTTGTTACTATGTGGTACTTATTTCTTACTATTTGAGAAAATATCTCAGATGCAAAAATCAAGGGTCATAATTTAATGTCAGAACTTTTTTGGGGGAGAAATTTCACTACTATGAAATTCTTCCTATAAAAATTACATTCCTGTGTGCATAAGCACTTTCTTGAGATTTCTTCTTTGCAAAACTTTTACATTATTTCCAAACATTATTCAGAGGTTTTACATCTATATAGTTTTAAAAAGCTGTTTAGGTATATTCTGAGGGGCTTTCACAAAAAAAAAATATGGGCATGGGAGATCATCATTCCAGATTAAAGCATAATTGTATCTCATTAAGGGTACCATTTTGAACAGAAACTTGTTTTTAAAAACATGCACACAACAATAATTGCACCAGTAGTTTGTGCCCTGTGGTGAGGGGTCTACTTGCATGACTAGTGTTGCACTAGTTGCCAAATTGGTCACATGACAAACATCCTGTCAAAGAATGCGACTTGCTTGTGCAATTACCATTAGGTGCAATGTTTCCTTCCCAGTGGGATTCTGCCTAAATAATTTCCTGTTCACTGCACCGCAAAGCCATTTGGCTCTTTTGATTATGATCTTCACAGTTTTATTCTTCCAGAGAAAAAAACCAGCACACAATCATTGATAAAACTGAGAACAATGGGGAAAAAGGCACTTCACAACATTTCCAAGTATATTAAAAGCTGCTTTAAGTAGTTCTGATCGAATCCAAAGCATTTCACTGAAACATACCATTCTTTTAACTTGATTTTTTAAAAGTGAACTTACTTGTCCTGCTGTTGCCTGAGTAATTCATTCTGCATTTTTATGGCCTCGTTTTGTTTATTCAGGGAATTATACATTAGCTGTAGATCATTATAGTGTTTTTCCATTGTTTCATGCCTAAAAGATTAAAGTGTTCTTAGTAAATAGAGCTAATGCTGAGTCAATTTCCATAATGCAGTATTTTGATCACACATTGATGTTTTTCTTTTAGAACCTTACTGGGTTTTTTTATGGAAGTGTCTGCAGATGTCTGTGTGTCACGGCTCAAGTGCAACTTTACTCAGAATACAGTAGTACCTCGGTTTACAAATGCCTTGGTTCTAATGTTAACTGGAACAGAAATCCATTGAAAATAACGCCTGTTTACGATTTTGTTTTTGGCAGTACGAAGCAAGTTTCCCCTATTATCACCTTTGGTGGACTTGTGATAAAGCAAAAAAATTTGGAGCAAAATACATACATGGCTTGTTAAAATAATCAAAAGGCATGTAGATTTTAGGCCAGAGCTCTTTCTGTTAGGTATAATACCAGAAAGTGTTGATAGACAAAATGTATATTTAATACTGCATATTCTAAGCAGTGAGGATTATTTATGCACAGTACTGGAAAAATGAAGGAACACCTACAGATCAAGAAATAATTAAAAAGATATTGGATTGCGCCAAAATGGACAGACTAACACTGAAAATCAAAGGAAAAGAAGATACAAAATATTATCAAACATGGGACTTATTCTATCAATGGTTAGAAGGATGTTGTATAGATTAGGAGGGTAATGTGTGTAGCAGTTGTTTTACAAATGATTATAAGCTGTACCCTGGTGACACAATGTTAAATCAATATGGTTGGATTTATATAATAAAAAAGGGAAAAAAGATTAAAGTATTCTTAGTAAATAGAGCTAATGCTGAGTCAATTTCCATAATGCAGTATTTTGATCACACATTGATGTTCTTCTTTTAGAACCTTACTGGGTTTTTTTATGGAAGTCTCTGCAGATGTCTGTGTGTCACGGCTCAAGTGCAACTTTCCTCAGAATACAGTAGTACCTCGGTTTACAAATGCCTTGGTTCTAATGTTAACTGGAACAGAAATCCATTGAAAATAACGCCTGTTTACGATTTTGTTTTTGGCAGTACGAAGCAAGTTTCCCCAGGATGCATTGTGCCTGGAGGTTTATAGTGCCGCTCCCTTTCCTATGGCAACCTGCGTTTCGGTTTACAAATTTTTTGCATTACGTAACATCCTAGAGAACGCATTAAATTCATAAACCGAGGTACTCCTGTAAGCCTTAAATGATTAGACTGGGAACAGCAGACTCACTTCTAATAAACTGGTGCTCAGCAAACTTTTCCATGTTGTGGATTACACAGAAACTGATGTATTGTATTGAAACCTGGCTATCAGTTCAGGAAGTCTGACATCAGGAGGTGGTGATCATATGCAGTGACAAAATTCTCCACTAAAAACTGATCACGTACCAGTCAGACTGATCCAGACTTCATGTGGATGCTTACTCCCAGGCTCTACCTAACCGTAGACACAATGGCTTGGCATCCAGCAGTTGTCCTTACACTATGCACAAACGCAAATTGTGCAAGCAAGTGAAAATCAAATCTATCCATGCTTCTCTCTATGCACACTTGCCCAATCTGTTCTAAGTACAAATGAGAAGGGTTTTTATTATTTGCTTTCTTGTGCAGGGGGATATTTTTCACAAATCTATTTCCTTAAATATCTTGCAGGGTGGTGCAACATCTTACTTCTGTATAAGATCAGTGTGCTCTTCTGCAATTGTCTCCAGTTTCCTATTGTGTTGAAAGAGTTGTTGCATATCACTTTGTGCTCGTTCAGATTCTACCTGCTGTGCATTCAACAATGCCTTAAGATCTTCATTCTTCCGCTCTGCATCTTTCAGCATTGAAGCAAGTGTCCTAGCCTTTTGGAAAGATGTGAAAGTTAGTCCACTCCATTTCACAATATGCAGAAAAGTGTTGTCTCTAATGGCATCCATCCACCAGTGAGATGGACCCTGCTGACAGACCCGATTCTACCCTATATGCTCTTCAACTTTACCCTGGAGATTTAGGACCATTCCGATAATGGGGTTGTGCAAGAAACTGTAGACATGTCTAAGGATCCCATTTTTAGTTTATGACAATTCCAAATATTACACTAGCAACTTCTACAGGGCAGAGGTCTGTTTTTCAAAGCAATGGAAGTTTCTAAAGCAGTGCAGGCTTTAGAAACTCCAAGCATCCTGATTGCAAATCAGTTTCAATAATAAGAATCATTGGGCAAAGATTTGCTCTCTGAAAAATTGTGCCTAATTAAAGAAATAATAACTAGGGATGGAACTTGCATTTTTAACAAAGGGAAATACTCCCTCCTCATTTTAATTTTTTGTCGTTGCTGTTTAATCCCAAAAGAGAGCCTCTAAAACATGAATGATTTATATTACTGAAACATATCCTTTCACGTTTCACTCTTTTATCTAATCTTCCTTCCTTCCTTTCTTAGTCAAATTGCCTGGGAAATATTTCATCAAATAGAGTCATGAGGACTGCTGGTAGTAGCCAATCAGGTATCTATGGGGAGCACGAATTCTGAAGTTACAAAAGGGCCTGGATTGGTTGGAACCCAATAGGAGTACTCTGCGTTTTCTTTATTCCTTGTTTGTGCCCAAGGTTCTGGCACTCTCCCACTTCACTTTTGCTGCCCTGCCTGCCTGTGCCTCTCTTGGATTCTTTCTTTTTCTCCTAGATTTCTGGGGTGATTTTGCCCCCTATACTTTGGAATACTTTTGTTTCTGCTGGCAAACAGACTGCCTATGCCAGTGTGTCTCCCTGGAATTTTTTTTAATCCCCACCCCACCCAAAATTGTCTGGTGATTTCTTCCTGTATTTCACCCTTTCCTTTCTTGGATAAATTTTGCTAAAGAAAGCATCAAATGGCAGTGGGGAGAGATATCTGCCCATGTTCTGCTGGCTTTGACTTAAGGAGATTTGATTGTATTTTTGCCATTATTTGCTTGGTCCATTTGGGGGGATTTGAAGAGAGGGGGCTGTGTGTGTACACGTTTATTTTGATATCCCCACGTGTGGCTGTGTGCACACTTTCTATTTTTGATTTGTTTTTAAAAATGTTATTTGATGAATTTACTGTGTATTTATTATGTTAAAATTAAATACTTTTGTTTAGTAGTTACTGTTGCTGGTTGTACTGTTACCTTCTGTTGGAGTAGACAGATTCTTTGTTACCTTTCCTCTCCTTTTCTGGATAATTTTTCTGGATTCTTTAAGGCTTTTTTGGACTAGCACCACAAAACATGAAAGGAAAAAACCTGAACAAACTGAGCCAAAAGAGACAGTCCTTTTTGTATTAAACTAAAGGACCAGTGTAGAAAAAAACATGAAAATGAAAGAGGCATCCTGAAAGAAACCAAAACAAAAATTTTGCCATGTTCATTTCTAACAATAATACATATTGTTATAAATGGATTTGCAGTGGTTGGCGTAAACTTGTAACATAATTCTCATGTCAAAATTTCGATTTTACCCACCTCTGATTCAGCTTGAGCTCTCTGGCAACGATATTGGGCAATAAGTCTATCAGCTTGAGCAAGAGCTAATGCCTTTGCTTCCAGAAGGTCTTGTAATCTAGTTTCTTTAGACTGCCAATAAAACAGAAATTACACTTTGACATTGAGGCATAAGCAGCATATGTATATAAAACAAACATACAGATTTGTAACAAACAGTACTTACTGCTAATGCAGTTAGTTTCTGCTCATACACATCCATTATTTCAGATACTCTTACATCTGTGATTGCTTCCTTCATCTGCAGGAAATGTTGACAGCATGAGCTACAATATGCAAGGCATAAGAAGGGTAATGATACAAGTGTTGGCAAATGCCAAACATTTGTTAGTCTTCTTACATTAACAAATAACACAATAATGTTCATTAAAGGCATTAATGGAATCCATATAATTATACTGACACTTCCTAAAACAAATTGCCATGTTTAAAATAATGAGTTCCACTTCAAACAGAACAAAGTATTTAACATTTATTTATTGTTATGTGTTATCTGATCAGAACAAACTTATAGAGACCCAAATAGGGCTTTCAAGGTAGGTGAGAGATTTGAGCAATGTTTTTTTTTACCAGTTCCACTCCCCTAGTCCGCTTCCATGGCTAAACAGGAATTTGAACCCAAGCCTCCTACTCCCTAAATCTATCCACCACACCACACCGGTATCTATTATTAATCTTGCATACTTATCTTTCCAATGACAAAACATATTAACTTCAAGGAACTAATTAGGAATGGTTAGTTTAAACCCAGTTGGTAGTCCCAAATAGAGAAGTCCATTGACTCTACTGCTGAATGACAAATCAACACATATGTAAATCCCATGGATTTGCTGATCTTCTCTAACAGGCACAAAGAGTTGGATTTGGGCCATAATATTCTAAAGTGTACTTCAACTACTTGTAAATACATCTCACTGATTTCAGAGGGCTTTCATCGTATCTCTAGTTAGTGTAGATTCAAGTACCATTCTGAATTACCTCACTCTTTCTAGTAGTTGTCTTCACACTGTCTCTATCACTTCTATCACTTTATGCAGTGCTGTCTATACAAACTGACAAGCGGTGACCCTTAAAGTCTAAAAAGTACAGGACTAGAACAGACTACTGAATTTTATAAAGATTAGGAAAAGGTGGTTATATTCAAAAGGACGTATGTTAAATTGATTAACCTCCAGGCTGGATTGGAGTTTCTGTATTAAGTCCTGAATGTTGTGGGTTTCAATGTCATCATTTGGCGGAATAACAACAGTGCATTTCATTGGGTTAACACAGGTCATGGATGTCTGTATGTTGCTTCTTTTAGGAACATGCTCTGCCTCCTGTTGTCTGTAGGAGTTATTGGCTGCAATGCTTTCACCAAGCCTATATGAAAAGCAGAAACATATACAAAAGAAAAAATCAACAGGTAGGAACTGTAAATAAATTATATGTTGTATTTTTATGGATATTGTAGAAAAATATTGCCCCCCCCCCCAAAGAATTAAAAACATTAACTTGGAAGCCAATTTAGAAATATCCATAGAAAACTCACATTATGGCAGGAAAATCTGGCAATGGTGCTGCTTCAAATAGTATTCTGAGTCCTGCTTGGACTTGCTCTCTGTGGTCCGATGTTAAAGCAAATGCCAAAGGTGTAACCAAACGGTGATCCTAGACATAAAATATTTGTCAGTTTAAACAAGCAATCTTTAAAGATGTTAAGCAACACATGCATGAACTAATAAATATTCCCTTTATATTTCCTGTAACTTTCTCTTATGAAACTGAAGTATGTAAACCGAACACAATCAAAAACTTTAGCAAATGAAATGTCACAGTATATTCTATTTTGCCATTTTAAAAAATTACTTGATTTTGAGATGAAGCATCTGCATGAGATAGATATAAGATCTGCTATATCCCACATGAATTAAGCTTGAGACAGCATCCCTGTACACCTTTATACCTACACTATGAACAACAATCTTTAATAACATGTAATTTTAAAAACATAAAGGTAGGGTAGAATTGCATTGGAGTCAGAGAAGCTGGCATGGACAACAACGTTTCTGATCTCTTTCCTCCCACTGCCTTTTATAAAAAGGCATCTGAAGGAGTCTGTGAAATGGTATTAGGTAAGTGAAGCATCAACAGAATGGGAGAATTAGCTGTATTTAGGAGCTGGATGCCTCTCCCTTCAGACAAAGCACCTTTGAATGCAAGCCACTGCACTTGTTCTCAAACTTCAATCAAGGTTGTAGTTTACTGAATTCTGGTTTATGCTTGTATTTGCACCCATCACCACAAAGCAAGGCTTGTTAGTCAGTTAGAAACTGTGATTAGAAGGCATGGTTACTGATGGTTTAAAGAAGCCCGATTTTGCAAGCCCCAGCTTGCTTTTATATTCCAACCTAGAACCAAAGCTTTGCCTCAGCTATCTATGTTGACAAAAGGAACTGTCAAAAAGGGGAGGAAAAAAGGAGACCAGAAATAGGGATAAGAAGTGTAGTTTGGTTGTCTGCAAGACACCTCATTGCTGAAGTCACAAATCACAACTAAACTAAATCACAGCTTAGCAAATGCATCCCATATTACAAAGTTTGTTTCTTAGGTATGACTAAATAGAAGTTGTATGTTTTTAAAATTTTATGAAGAACCATTACAGAAATGAATGGTTTCAGGACGTCCTCCTTTAACTGCGATATAAACTAATAAATATGCACACAAAAATCTTACTTGAAGAATCTTGTAAAAACTAACTTCCATGTTAGGAACAAGCTGCTTTAGCTTGCTCATGAGATCCAGTGTTTTTAAGATCAGATCAGCAGCAAGTTTGCTAAAAAAAGGAAGAGACCAAAAAAAAAATTTTTATGGTTAGTGTACACATACTGAAACTTCTAACACTGCATAATTCTAACTGTAACTCTGAAAAAAAGTCAGTTTCATTTTAAAAATGGAAAAACACATGATTGATTTTTTGCTAAAATATGAGTTTTATGTTATTGAGAACAAAATATCAAAGTTGTAGATAACAGATTTGGGTACATGGAACAACCACCATTTAGGTAATCAAGCTTCAACGTCTCCTACTTCTCAATGAATTTGGGGAACATTATTGCAACAGTTATTAAGAAAAGGTTGAATTCCCCTAACTTTGTTCTATGAATGCAGACAGAGTCAGACAACTACAACCATGCTATTTATTCCTTACCAACGTAGGAATAAATGACAACAATATTAGTATATGCAAAAATCTGTTCCCAAATTTCATGTTTTTGTTGTGGCGTCCATGCTTTGGAACTCTCTACATGAAGAAATTCGTTTAAGTGTATTTTTGTTTTCAATCTGCCAAGAGGCAAATATCATTGGCCAGTAGCTCCCTAATAAATACTGAAACCGATTATTCTGTTTTATCCTAACAAGTACATTTTGAATTATTTGTGTATTTGTCATTTTTATTGTTCTGCATATATGGATACAAATCCTTCTAAAAATGGGTTATAAGTAAAGTCAACATATAACAAAATAATATCAAAACAAAAATTCATTGGGTCTGCTAACATGTAACTTTAAATATTTTAATGCATTTTAAATGGAAATTAACTATTAAATTAATAAACTAAATAATTCTACATTGGAGGGATAGCTCAGTGAGATAGGTATATGGCTGCAGAGTTAGAGGTTCGACTTCTCACTATGTATCCCAGGAAAACAGCCAGCCTGTGTAGCCTGGGCAGGTTGCATAGGCCCACAGCACTCCCATAAAACAATGATGCTAAACTATCATTGTTCTATACCTAGAAAACCTTGAAAAGGTCACCATAAATAGGAGTCAACTTATCGGCACATAACTAAGTAATTCTATCACTGGAATGCCAGTTTGTATTTTCCAAAGCTCTTTGCTTCAGCATTTGGAACAAAAAATTGCAACTCTGCCTCTTTCGTTTAAGCTGAATTACCTTCAGGGACAAGAAAAAAGCTAACATTTACAGATGGGCATGAATTAAAAAATAAATCACCAAATTCATTCAAAAATGGCCAATCTGTTGATTCATGTTTGTACAAATCAATGCATATACGACTCAATTAACTTTTAGTAGTTTTTGATTCATCCATTCATTTGGCTATAAAACACCCCCCCCTGGCACCTAGAGACCAAGATTGCAGAGAACCTTCCACTGACTCTCCTCTACAATCCCTCCATGTTCAGTGAAGATAGGGTTTCAGATGTCCAAGTTATACACCCAAATTACAGAGAAGCTTCCCATGACTCTCCTCTACAAACCCTCTAAGTTTGGTGAAGAATGGCCAGTTGCTAAATGGCCCCAAGCCAGTTGCTAAATGGCACTTTCCAGGGGTGGGCACTTTGTGGATTTATAACTTGGATGTTTGAAACCCAGTCTTCACCAAACTTGGAGGGTTTGTAGAGGAGAGTCATGGGACACTTATTGATGATTTTGGCGTTTCTAGGTGCCTGGGAGGGAACTTTCCTGGGGGCAGGCCCTCCTGTGAGGGAATTTTCCTGGGGTCAGGCCCTCCTTGAGGGTGTACAACTTGGATATCAAAAACTGAAACTTCAACAAAAGTGTGACTGTAGAAGAGAGTCAGGGGAAAGTTCCCTGCAAATTTTGTCTCTCTAGGTGCTTTGGGGGCCGTTTTATAACTGTCAATAGACCTATACTGACATTAAGCCTGAACATATAATAGCAATGTGTGTAGCAAGCACTGGGATATAAATTCTAGCCACAGCACAAAAGCCCTTTCCCATGTAAGCAGGCTGGTCTGAATGGGACTTGATAGGCAGAAGCCTCAGTATGACCAGAAACCAAGGTAAAATAGGAAACATGAAAGCTTCTATTCACATTCAAGCATACAAATGTATTTAGTTATTAAAGTGTTTATAGAGCATCTTACCTCAAAATACCTTAGGGCAAGTTTCAGACAATAGAAGAATTTAAATCAACAAACAATTCAAATACTGTAGTTCAAATATCTGAATTAAAGACAACTGAAAACCATGTTTTCCAAGGTTTGTCTGTGTGTTTTGATTTCTGCTTACCTCAATTCAGAGTCCATTACTTTTACTCCAAAGCCAGAATCAATCCCACTGCATGTAAATAGGTTTTCTATCAGAGATGTACATTTGCTAGCTGTCAGAACTTTGGTGACATGTGTTTTTAGAACATCATCAGTACAAAGCAGTATTGTTCTGTTAAGGATGAAGCCCAATTTATTTTGTTGCTTTTCATCTCTTTGAATAATGCTTTTATTTAATGTTTTTAATACATTTTTAAACTGAATAATATATTGTTATCAGTTATCTTTTTTAATGATAATGATAAGGTAAGACACCTTAGGTTCTTCTGTGGAGAAAAACGGATTAAAAATATTGTAAATAAATAAAATAAATATAGTTCAGATTATGAATGAGTTCACAAATAAACCTATGCTAGCCTATGGGAATGATTAAAACTCTTTAAAGATAGAAGGCAAGATCTCACTTATCAGGAAAAGATATGTATTGAACCACAACGTGCTGAAAACTTGGAAATTCCAAGCACATTTATAATAGGTCATCAATAAAGAAAGCTATTTTGTAGCCACTTTTCAAAAACCCAGAATATACTAAAAAGGACAATTTTTCAAAAATAATTCAAATGGCAATATACAGACAACAAAGAGTTCTTTCAGCATTTATTATCTGAAAAGTACAGTGGTGCCTCGCACAACGATTTAACAAAGAGTTCTTTCAGATTGAGCATTTATTATCTGAAAAGTATCTGATATTTTTATTTGTTACATGTGCAGAATATTCCTAGTCCAAAAATGTCAATTACATTTCTCCAAGTTCAAGAGGAAACATCTTAAAAAGGGTTCCCGAGTATAAACCCCAATAGGATTTCCCCCTCATAAAACTATAGAGTTCAAGATGGTCTTCAGAGAGGAGTTACACAAACAGAAGTTTTTAGTTAAGTACAAAAACTATCCTTCCCAAAAATCTCAAATCCCCTAGCAGGAATAAATTTTTTAAAAATGATTGTTTTAGGGGTTTTTTTGGTGTGTTTTAAAAAAGGATTTCAAGATTTTCTTAGTGGAGAAGAGGTTTCCAGAGAAATGACTCTGAAAAGCAACATGTGGACATCTCTCTTCACTAGTTCCACACCTAGAGAAAGGGAGGAAGAACTTCTCTGCTATCTGGAACAGCCCTAGGAGAATTGTTTTTACATACAATATAAACCTGATCCATCTGAATATTCTGCTAAAAAAGAGTCACTGGTAAAGTCACAAATCCTGACTTTGGCATTACTCAGCTGCTGTGTTCTTCTGAAAAGCATTATAGCAGCCACATTAGTAAATTTGATCAGTTTATAATCGGGTCTCTTGTCTGCCACCCCAATAGCAAACAGTGCACCTAAACACGCAACATCCTATGGCTTTCTGGTCAATCATAAGAATTCAGGGAAATGGATGTAGCTCAGAGAGGAAGGTATGGAGCCTGTCTCTGCGGCATTTATTTCTTTTGTCATTCCTTCCAGAATCTGCATGTTAGATCTGCCTTGGTTCTAATGGGCCTGCCAGATGGCAGATAGCTTCTGCTCAAATTGGCCTCCTCTTTTGGAACAGGATCAAGCCCTTGCTTCATCTGCTCTGCAGTTGCTCTGGCAACCAATGTCAGGCAATCTCCTAACACCCTTGGGTTGTCCTCTACCTTAGGTGTCACAGTCAACTCTGTTCTAGTAATACAAGGCCCTACTCTCCAAATATGAATTACAGTGAAAAACTGGAAAGCAAAAAGATGGACATTGTAACTAATTCTGTCTCCCTTTTGAAATCTTTAGCAAACAAACTGAAGCTGTGGTAGAAAAGAGAATCTGCTTCTTCAATAAGGGAGGGAGGAAGGAAGGAAAACTGGTAACAAAATGAAGAGCAAGAGAATCAATCCGCTCAAAATTCAGGAAAGAACAAGTCTGGCAAGGACACTGTCTCTCATAATAGAGGACTCTTGAATCCAAACTGACTGATTTACTAGTCTTACGTGTTGGAGTGAGGGGAAGGAGCCACTTACACTTAGGATGGCCTAATTATATTTCACCCAAAAGTATTTGAAGAGTACAACAAATTGTCTATAGTTTGTATGTATATTAGGGCCAGATTTCAGTTTTAAATATTATTTAAATGAAATATATTTAATATAGTTTATTTCACACATGTTATGGTAAAAAAAGAAACACTTCATCAAGGATATTTATCAAGATGTCAACAGCTCTGATCATTTTTTCACATTTCTTTTTTGCCAACACATCTTCAGTTAAGTGATCTGAAAAGTGAAGATGGTCGAGAAGAACAGGTAGAAGAAGATCCACGAAGCGCACAGCCACAACACTACTGCCTGCATCAATAACATCCTGTAACAGAAATACTACATGCAAGTTAACAAATAAAGAAGTTATCCTACTGCTTCCATCAAGCCTACTATCTAGATCCATGGACAGTTACCCTTCACCTTGAAATACTATGGAACATTTGCTATTCCCTCCATTTTTATTTATCTTTGCAAAAGGAGTTAAATGCTACCTACACCAGCTCAATATAAAATATCATTTTGTTCATATAACAATTAACCTAAATGTTTCAGACCTGAAACACACAAAACTTTGTAATATAATTCAAATACCATTAATTGTTTAAGAAATAATTTACAACAGAACGAAGCTATAATCCAATGCAATGAATAAAAATGACTTTTTCCTAAGTCAAACACACATTTTGAGCTTTTAGAGGCTGAAGTCTCAATGATTATCATAGCAAGTCACCATTAGAGTAGGCCTATTAAACCAGTGAGGATTTGGTGAGTCAACTCCTCCATAAATTCTATTAATTCAAGGGTCCTACTCTAGTTGTGACTATGCTAATCAACAGGATATCACCCACAAAATAGAGAAACAATGCTTGCACTGACTACTATTTAGCTGTTTGTTTTATCAAGATAATCAGAATTACTTTAGGTTAAAGGGCAGTGGTTTATCTACTACAAAAACAGCTATCGCAGTTTAAAGTGAGGTAAATTGATTCTTTGGGGGAAAGAGGGAAGAAAACAACCTGTTGGCTCAGCTAATGGACTAATTGACTGAAAAGCCATTTCCAACCAATTCTAGAAGAATTAGATACCTCAAATATCTCCTTAAACAGCTCCAAGGCAAGAATTGAGCAGTTTTCAGATTCTTCCAAAGGTTGGTTTGACCAGTGTACTAAGACAACAGATGGCTCTGAAGGTTTAGATCGAGTTGCAAGTCTTGTACTTCCACAACTTGTCATATTTGGTTCTAATATTGCTTGACACAAAACATGGCGGAGTTCTGGTACTGAACAGAAGGCAAGTAGCAATTCTAATACCTAAAAAATGCAAGAAGTCATTATTTCTATTGTCACAGCAAAATACTTTTTGTGACAATATTTAAGACTTTTACAAATGTATTCCCGCCATCATAGTGGGAGGACAACTTGATGAAACTCAAATATAATTGTCCAGTTCCTTCAAACATCAATACTGCAATCAACGTTCTGGCATTTTTAGAAAGATGTCATATAGAGGTCTAAACTGAAGTGCCAATCTCAGCTAGAGGTGACTCATTGAAACAAGCGTTTCTACATATATTTTAATTTACCATTCAGCAACTGATTCAATGAGCCTATTAAAACAGAGATTAGTTGTCAAAAATTAGCTTTGATTAGTCATTAAATTGGAAGTATTCCAAGGAATACTTGGAATTAAGATTTTGTTAAGGTGTACCAGCACAAATCTGTTTATCTGTACCTTTCCTGAAGAATCAGCGTCCCTTCCATGAAGGAGGCTCAACACTTGATTGAGGCAGGATGTAAAATGCTCATACCTATTTTGTTGAAAGAAATAAAGAATGACTTGGTGGGGAAAGTGCTTAGTTCAACCTATTATTTCAAGAAGTGATACAATACAAGAAGTAAATGTTGGGGTTTCTTTTACTTTGGCAAAAGATAAATAAAATGATTTCATGGGATCTGAAAGAAGCATTGTTCACTCTTTGTTTTAAAGTTTTTAAAGTAGAGTTCTAATTATTTTCAACAAATGACAATTGAAATAGGCCGATTCCATTTGCTCAGAAAATACAATTTATGTACAGATGATCATATCTGGCCTCTTAAGAAAGATACAAACAAGCCATTTTGCCTGCACAAGTAGCCACTTCATTCTTTCCTTTGCGCAGTGCCATACTTTAAGCCAGATGCCCCTATTTAACCACCTACATATCCATGTAAACTAAACGAAAAAAGATTTCTATCTTTTAGAAAAGATAGGAAACTAAAACTTCAAAGCATGGTTTATTATTGCTTGTTGGCCACAACAAAAAACTAGTTACGATTCCGACTTAATTATAGCTCAGGAAAAGAGGTGGCATCCATAGGTAATTTATTCATATTTTAATGTACCAATTTTCAGTAGCCAAGACTTCACCATCTGAACTTGGCCACTCTCTACTGGAGTCTATGTATCAAATATGAATCAGTAAAATGGTATAAAAGCAAAATAACATGATGTTATGCTGTCTGCAGTACAAACGTTTGGGAATTGGATGTTCTTTCCAAAGCCCAATAAGGAAACAGCCAATTCTTACACAGTATAGAATAATTTCAATTAAGTAACATATATCATTTAGCAGTTATTTATTTAACTTGCGACGTGAAGAGAAACATTTGGGATAAACCAAACATAGGGATCTCTGAGCTGAGCCAGTAGTGTAGCCCTGTGGTGTGATCTCTTTTGTACTTCACCACAGAGAAAAAAATATGCTATGGCTGAAATCCTGTTGCTTGGCATGGTAAACTGCTCATTGAATCAGTTGGGAATTGATGAGTCACCTCCTCTAAAAATGATTCAACAGGCCTGCTCTAATTGTTATTTATTAGGCTAAGCAACAGAATTTCACCCTATATTTCATAATCTCTACTTACATTAATTTTTAATTTAATTACATTTAATTTAATTTACATTAATTTTTAATTTAATTTAAAAATCTTGTTTCTGCTGCCTTTGAATATAACAGACTTGCTGTTGATTCCAGCATAATAGGAAGGATCCATTAGTACAATTTGGTGGGAGGCACATGTGGTCTACTGGCTCTACTTTTTAAGAACATGTATCCTACAATTTGGCATCTGAATGTTGATGGTCAGCAGAAATATATAGTTTGCAATCTGTAGCCAGGCTGCAGTTTTTAAAACAATGAGAGTGATATGGCTGCAGTCACAGTCCTCTCACCATATTAAGTCTAGAACCTATGTACAGGAGTAAAGAATCGAAATGTAAAAAGCAATACAGGATATAGATTCTGTAACTGATAAAATCAAGCACTAAATGAAAGGTTGGGGAAGTAATGCAGGCACGTTTGACCTGTAAACAATATAAAAATATAAGCTTTTTTAAAAAAATAGATGATCCCACCACATTTGTAGAGAAGTTTAATTTTATAAATCATACTTCATAAGATAATCTGCAATCTTGGGATTCATTAGAAGATCCATGAGCAGATCAACAGAATACTTTCTTGTTAGTGTTCCATCACCATTCACAAGAATGTTGAATATTAACTGGAAAGTCTGATGAATGTTTCTGGAATGAAAAAGCTAAACAAACAGTTGAACAACCATTTAAGCTTTACAGCTGTGACACATCCACTTATATCATAGTAATCATCTGAAACATGCAATATGATTGCAATAAATGTAATTCAATAGGGCTGTAAAAAAACTCATTGTGCACAGAACATATCCAGACTACTAAAGCACGTTGTAATTCTACATTCTGCCACAAATATTCTTATCTTAAAAGAGTACCATGTGAGGTAGAAGCTTCTTTTAGAAAAAGAAACGTTCTCACCTTTTCTCCAACTTCTTCATTTAATGTAAGGCTTGCCAATATTGAAAGTGCAAATACAACCACTGTTAGACTACTGTGGGCCAAGAAACTGATCAGAGTGCGATAGAAACCTTTCACATTAGTCTAAGAGAGAGAAGGAAAAATTGTATTTGAGAACAGCACTACAACTTAAATCAATACATTTTAAGTGTAATTAGGCAAAAGCATTAATTGGTAGTAAGTAGAAACACCAGCTGCATATACTGAGTGTAACAGTGAAATATACTAAAACTCAGATGTATAAAAAAATTATCTGGTGAAAGGTTTAAAATGTGACACTCTTTGCAAGTAAAAAATAACCCCCATATCCTTACTGACAACTTCTCTTTTCCAATAAAATATATAGGTGCATATACTGCAAGTCTCTGGGGTCAAAACCAACCCACAGTGTAAAGTACATAGAGAACACACTTCATAGCTAAGAAAGGACTGAGTACCCACTCCCGAAGTTTAAAACATAAAATAGTGTGCTATTTTGTGCACATGGAGTTATCACTATTATTTAAATATTTAATTATGTTTGGTGTTACTTGTATTGCCCAATAATGAATATTATAAGCCTTTTCAACCATTTTTCACAAAATATAGAAACATAGAGATGACATCTTCTAGTGGCAGCGATAGCAGGCCCTATAGGTTCTGAACCTACATCTCTTAATATCCCCATCTTTTTAGTCTGTTATGCTTCCAAACTCAACCCAGGTCGATTAGGAAAACAGAATGTTCTCTTCACAGGTATTCAGTTTCCAATCAATGTCAACTCTTGTATAGCAGCATTTAAGTGAAAATTGGACAACCATATGTTAGATCTGCTTTGATCTGGATTCCTGAATTGAGCAGGGAGTTGGACTCAATTGCCTTATAGGTCTCTTCCAACTCAATTATTCTACGATACCACAATTGACCCGTACTGTGTACTTTGCAAAGTATGGGGGAAACTATCTGGTTAGAGGTGTTCTCTTCCATTTAACGAAGAATAATCTCAGGTTTGGAATTCTGGAATAAAATAGCTGCACTGCTGTGCATTGAAAACAGAATCCCTGTTCTTCCCACCTAACTTACAGTTGTCTGAGCTGTTTGTTGAAAGAGCCGAAGCAAGAGAAATTATATCCAAAATTGCTTCAGAGAACCCTCTATTAGTACAATTCCTATTCTCTAGAATTTGGGGGTTGCAATTTATGAATCTCTCCATGTTTCATTAACATGAAATTACATAACCCAAGGAAAACAGAAATGAGATATATATGCTAAAACTAGAATCATGGATGGAAAGTGCTCAAGCAAATTCTTCAAATTCCATACGCTTTGAAGTTCTTGCTACCACACACAAAACCACCTTGAAATAATCAACTCCTACTTGTTCATTTAAAATGCCAAAATTTCAGAAGAGCACATAATTTCCCTATTCTTCTCTGCAATTAAAATTTTTCAATAAAGTTTCTCACCAATGACTTGATGTGTGCTTGAATTGAAAGACTGTGTCGACAGAGATTTGCCATAAGTCCTAGACATGGTATAGTTAACTCATCTTCTGTAGATTGACTAAAATAAAGGTCACAAATTACCAAAGAAAGCAAAATATTTTACTGTTTTGCAGAAGAAAATATCAACTGATATCAGGAGAAACCATCATCGTATATAACTCAGTAAAATATAATTCGAAGGAAATATGTATGTATTTGCTCCTACTTCTAAGAGCAGCTCATTCTAAAGTACAGACATGCTGGCAGAAATCCTGATGTGTTTCTCTGTGTGCACAATACTGATTAACATCACCATCACCAGCAAATAATCACTGGTCAGAGGCAGTTCTTTGGCAATTTCAAGGTGCACATGATTTTGTCACACTGTGTACAAGTTGCATGCACTCTGCCTTAATCAGAAGTGATTTGCCACTTGTGATGACATCATCCCCACTGTATGCACAGAGCACCAACACATAATTTCAGTCAGTGATAGAAAACATGTTAAAAACATTGCTGAAAAAATACTAAGTGAGCTTCAGAAGTACAGAACAGCTTTCAGAAAGAGAAGATGCTTCGCACTAACAATTCAAATTTAAAAAGGCATGCATTAAGAACCGTTGTCTTCCACTATATATGTCAACAACTCCCTCAAAGTACACAGACTAGCATCTGCTTGCCCTGAATTTCAGACTTAATTCTCCAATATAGACATGACACAGCTCTTCTGGAGCTTGTACAAGGAGGCACTCAGAATCTAGCTGTGGAAACATAAACTATATAAAAAAACAGTAAGATAATCTCTACCTTGCACAACAACTACAAAGACTGCAGAAGGCTGCAAAGTTTCTGTGGGAAGAGCCTTATGCTCTGCCTGCGAAGAACAGGGTACTAGCCAGAGAACTAGGTATCTGACTATAGAGCCAGAGGTTAGATTGATTCCCCACTGTGCCTCTTTGCCAGGGGCTGGACTTGATGATGTTAGGATCTAGCTCTGCAATTCTAAGATTATGATGAACTACAAGAATTGTGTGGGATCTGACTCCCCTGTTTTTGTTGTTGCTCTGACATTTGACAACTACATTCAGCTTTCAATATGCAGTTTTTGCTGCTGCTTTACTGTAACACATTTCAAAGTCTCATGGCACTGTGGTTAAGCTGAACCATTGCAGTGAACCTCTGCTCATGACCTGATTTTGATCCCATTGGGCTCAGGTAGGTGACTCAAGGTTGACTCAGCTTTCCATCCTTCCGAAGTCTGAAAATTGTGCCCTCCACTGGGGGGAGGGCATGTGTCATCTGTACAATTAAATTGCAAACTTGCCAGACACTGCTTTAAGCGCTATGGAGTGGTATACAAGCAGCACACTTAGCTTTTCAAAGGTTATTTTATTTTACTATATAAGTTTCCCTGAGAATTTTGGCTATAGGGCAAATCTCAAGTGAAACACACATAACAATGATATCCATTCTCTTTTGCTGTTCCTTCTGTTTCATCTACCTGCCAGAGCACCTCTGTTCCTTCCTTAGAATTCATTATCATAACAGAACCTTTCCATTAAGTCTTTGGCAGTTTCTTATTTCTCACATACCACTGCAACAAGACCCATACAACAAATGCATATCACTCTCCTGTTTATTTTTGCCTCCTTTCTTATTTCTTCCATTGTCTAGGCAAGGTCTGTGCTCTTGGGAGTCTGTGACACACCACATACATTAATGGTACCATTTAAACAGAACTCCAATAATGCATTTATTTAGCACTTGATAACTTCATAAGATGAGTTACCCAGTGTGGTATAGTGGATACAATGAAGGACTAGGCCTCAGGAGGCCCAGGTTCAAAACCCCGCTCAGTCATGAAAGCTCACTGAGGTTTTGGAACTGGCAAAACCACTCCTTATGTATCTCACTTACTTTGAAGCCCTATTAGGGTTGCTATCATTCATTTCTGACTTGACAGCAATTAACAACAATTTCCTAAGATGCAGCTCAACCCTAGATATGCTAACCCAGAGGTAAATCTTTCTGCATTTAATCACACTTTATCCTTGCGGAAGTGCACAAGGATGCGGATTTAAAGACTCATTTCTACATAATATGATAATAATAATGTGCCATCAAGCCAATGAACAGTGTGAATATACAGCTGTAGCCTCAGTCAGCTAAACCTTTAAGTTTAAGAAATACTTACATACGATTCATAAGGAATGAGATTAAATCATCAGTATTAGCACTGGTATGGAATACTCTTGAATTGTAGGTCAATTTCTGTAGCAGCTGGGTACTCTTAAAAATAAGAAAAGTAATTTAAATAACTAAAACACCATAGCTTATTGAGGCTCAACTTGTGAAGATGATACTTCTTTACACCCAGTTTCATTAGTTTTAAATTCAAAACTATACTGTTTCAAAAATGTATTAAAATCATAAGCTATTTTATTTTTTCTCAGTTTATCAGGCAAACTACTAAAATCAGGACTCAAGCTCATGCATGAGTAATTAAAAAGGAAGGAGGATAGGAATAGATAGTCTTGATTGATTAGACAATCTGTTTCTTTCTGTGTGCCTCGTCAGTTTTAGTTTTAGTAAAGCCCAAAAGCACAGTCATTATGAGGTTGACACTTATAACAACCTTATTATTCACACTATGAAGAATGTGAAACAGAAAACAGGAGATTTTCAGTCAGAAAATTATAAAAGTGTTTTCCTCTGGAGTTGACATATTGGTAAAAACGCAATGGCTCTAATTTTGCAGCAAAATGTGTAATTAGGGTCAATAACGCACAGGCAGAATAATATCAATCAGACTTCTGGGAACACCTATCAACATAACTGTGATTCAGATCTATACTTGAACAACAGATACTGAAAAAGAAAAAACACAAAATCTTTAATAATCTCCAGGCATTTTGATTACTTCTTGACATGTTTATTTCTTCCATGAATTTTATCCAATTATCTCTTCTCATTTCTGAAACCAAAGAAATTAATCACTGCCCAGCCAAACTGATTTCCAAAGGATTTCATTCAAATTGTAAAAAGTAATTATTGGGTGACTATTTACAATATTAGGCCTTAGAAGTAATTGGTTCTGCATTCTTGGGCTATGGACAATTAGGATGGTATTTTCATTTGGAAGAAATAGATTACTAGGAGTAGATGGGATACTAATACAGTGGAATTATTTCAATGTACAAAGACTGAATTTGCCAAAATCCTATACAGAACAGGCTGACAAATATGGAAACCAAACAATGGCTCACACACTAGAAATATTACATTCTGATCCCCAAGAAAGGAAACAGCAAAGAATGTAGTAATTATAGTACCACAGCATTATATGATCATTGTGTTAATTTCCCATGCAAGCAAAGTGATGTTAAAGGTGTTGCAACAAAGACTTTATCCCTATAGGAAGCAAGAAATGTTCAGTGTTCAGGGTGAATTCTGGAAAGGAAGAGGCACTAAAGATCATATTGCAAACATATGTTAGCTACTGAAGTGTACCAAAGAATTTCAGAAAACCAGCAAAGTCTTTGGCTGTGTGGGTAATGAGAAGCTATAGAGTGCATGTGCTCTCTGGGTGGTTCACAACACAATAAAGCACATTAAAATCACATTATAATCAATGAAACCAAGTACTTTGCAATAAAACAGAATAAAACCATGTTTCTAGCTAAAATTTACCTTTAAATTAAACAAATTTGAGCATCTCAAGTAGTAAAGTACTAATAAAAGGCAGCTTAAAATAATGTTTTTACTAATCTCTTCACATGTCAGTTAAGTCTGATAAATAAAATTACATCTACACATCCATCAGGAAACTTTACAAAGGGAAATACTATTTATTTATTTAGTTAGTTAGTGTGTTTCCCCGAAAATAAGCCCTAAAAAACACATTAGGGCTTATTTTCAGGGACTGTTTTTTTTTTTTCATGTACAACAATCTACATTTATTCAAATACAGTCATGTCACTTCTGATTGCCACACAATGGTGGATGGCGGAGTTTCTCTTAACTGGGGCTTATTTTCGGGGTAGGGTTTATATTACAAGCATCCTGAAAAATCCTACGAGGGCTTATTTTCAGGGAAACAGGGTAGTTAGTTAGTTAGTTAACATTTTAGCTGTGCCATTACCAATGGTCTCTGAGAGGTGTATAACAATATTAAAACTTATGATCAAAACACAATGTTTTGATCACAACTTTATTTTTCAGTATAGTTTGAGGGGACATGCATCAGCACCATTAATAAAGCTTTAAAAGCTTGGATGTTAAATGGGAAAGTACTACAACCATTATTCTGTGTTTAGGGGCAGAAAGGTGGATAAACATTACCAGAAAAGAATAAGTAATCTTTTTAAGAAAGATTTTTATTATAGAAGGCATTAAGCGTTATGTTACCTTACCTGGAATAATACTGGGTCACTAGAACTCACAGAACTTCGAAGAATCACACCTGCCAGAACACTGCACAGATTGTAAGTATTCTGAAGGGTTTCTCTAGTTTCATTGTGCAGAACTAAAATGTAAACATATTTGATAAAAATTGTATAGAATTAACATGATAAACAATATTTTTAGAGTAACACAAAAATCAGTTGAGATAAAGGATAACCTTATGGTCAGTACAAAATAAAATACAAATACAAAAATAGGTGATGTCTTTATAGACCACTAGATATCATACAATGCATGAGCTTTCATGGATTTAAAAAAAGCACACTGCTTATATACTGGTCCATAGCACTTAAAGCATTCTCTGGGCAATTCACAAGTTAATTATGAAGGCTACCCATTGCCCCGCACCCAGCAAGCTGGGTACTCCTTTTACCAACCGCCGAGGGCTGAAAACACTACTTCATCAGGCTAGTACCTATGTGAAGAACTTAAAATCCAAAAGTTCTTGGCAAGATCATTTTTGCCAGGCCTGTCTTTGTTAGATGCAAGTCAGAAGAGGTGCAGGAAGTAGTATGGTTGTTCTTTTAAGGTTTCAGTTGAGGCAGATGTGGATTGAATATCAAGCCCCAGTTTTTCAAACGAATAAGTACTGTATAGGCCATTGACACTCACACCTCCCCATTGGGCCTTTCTTTGAAACAAACGCGGGGGGGGGGGGGGAGCAGAAAACGATCCTGACTTACATTTAAGAAAGACGTGCCTGGCGAAATCCATCTTGCCAAGAACTTTTGAAATTAAAAGTTCTTCACACTGGGACTAGCCTGATGAAGTGGTATTTTATCCATGAAAGTTCAAGAACTGTATAATGATTTTTACTGGCTTATAAAGGTATACCTATTTTTGTATTTGCATTTACAAAGAATCAGATAATATTTCAGAAACTGATTCAGAGGAGTAATACATCCCTCCCAACATTCTAATTAAATTTTAATCAGGATGTTTGAACTCACTTTTTGTGTATTTTGGAAAATGTGCTGGGACATAAGAGAACTACATCTAGCAAACTGAAAAAGATAGTTTACTACTGCATTTCAAACCACACAGCTAGCAAACTGAAAAAGATATTTAGTTTACTACTGCATTTCAAACCACACAGATTTTAGACAAGTTAATGAATAACTTAAAACATAATGAAAATTTTCCTGAAATTTGTTTTATCTAAAAGCAATTATGTAGTTCTGCCATTTCTCTGGTAATAAAGGTATCGTATCACCGCAGGCACACCAGAGCCTTACATAGGCCACTGCCTGCTAACACAGAGACGAAACTGCAGATAGTGATGTAGGTGTATGTATAATCTAGACCTTTGCACAAGAGGGTTCTTTAACTGTGTTGAACTGAACATGACACAGAATCCCCATATTAAGAACACAGCCTTTCCAATGGCCATTACAATTTTGCATTGACAAGAGTTCTAGGATTCCTCAAAGAACTAAACTGCTATGTTCAAGAACCAGTCAGAAGTATTTCAATATTTTTTTAAAAAAATTACAAGTGGTTCTTATTCCAAAGAGACACACTAAAAACAAATTTGGAAAAGCATACAAAAATCTTACCCAACAGTAAGCAGTACAATGTACAGTAGTGCCTTGCTTAATGACATTAATTCAATACAGCGAAATCACTGCAGAGCGAAAACGTCGTAAAGCAAAATTTTAAAAACCATTGAAACGCATTAAAACCCGGTTAATGCATTCCAATGGGCTAAAAACTCACCGTCCACCGAAGATCCTCCATACGGCGGCCATTTTCAGTGCCTGTATAGCGCGGAATCCATCCCTAAGCACAGCGGGCAGCCATTTTGAGCACCCGGTGGCCATTTTGAAAACCCGATGATCAGCTCTTTTGATCGTTGTAATGCAAAGAAGCGGTTCCCAAAGCAGGGAATCGATCTTCGTAAAGCGAAAAAACCCATTTAAACCATCGTGTAGCGGATTCGTCGTGAAGCGGGGTAATTGTTAAGCGGGGCATGACTATATCACATTCACCCTTTAGCCCTGAAGGACGTTGAATAAGCAGCATTACTAGTTTAGGACTCACCTAGTTGAGACAGCAAACTTATTACATTCAGGGTCAACGGAACACTTATATTTGGATCATCAATAAGTTCTACTAAACAATTCAAGCATTCACTTGGTAAAATCTGGTTTGATGCAAATAATTTTTCAAGTTTCAGTCCTGCAAAAATCTAAAAGAAGAAATATATATTTTACACAAACTTAACAGTAGCAAACGGACACAGCCATAAAGTCTCTAAGTATTTAGGAATCCACTGATTACATAATCAACCTCTTAATGATTTACTTCATTGAAAAGCTCCATACAAATACTCGTCCCTTGCAGATGAAGCTTTATTATCCATTCATCGTGCCTCGAACAGTCATTCATTCAGAATATATTTTTACAAGAATTTTACAAGGGATCCAGACATCACCACTTTCCATTTATATTTTCTCATTTTCCACAAAACCTCACCAAAGCAAAAGAACAGAATAGCTGCACAAAACATTTTGATTGATATCTGTTGGAGGCATCTTTACTTTTACAGTGGTGCCTCGCTTAACGAGCGCACCGTTTAACAACGAATCCGCATAGCGATGCGGATTTTGCCATTTTTTAATGATCGCATTGCAATGGTTAGATAGGCTAAACATCGCACTGCGATGATCGGTAAGCATTTCACTTACCGATTATTGCATTGCGATGTTTTTAGAACAGCTGAATGGCGGTTCCAAAATGGCCGCCGGATCAAGAAAATGGCCGCCCGCAGCGTTTTCGCGCCCTGCCCTCACTTACCGAGGTGGCGAAAATGGCAGTCGGATGGGGAATCTTCACTTACCGGTGAGTTTTCTCCCCATAGGAACGCATTAAACGGAGTTTAATGCGTTCCTATAGGGTTTTATGTTCCGTTTAGCGATGTTTCCGGATAGCGATGTTAATCCTGGAACGGATTAACGTTGCTATGCGGGGCACCACTGTACTTTATTTAGATTTATACCCCGCCCCTCTAGACAAAGTCTACTCTATTAACAAGCATTTCCTTTTAGTTTTTTAAGTGAGATCAATTCAGCTCATTAGTGCTAAGCAATTCTGTGTTTCTGCTTTTCTGAGGCAGCTATATCAGGGCTGTTAAGGCATGTTATGGGCAAACCTCTTTTAACTAATCTGCCTGGTATTAACATACATACAATTATGACCCTGATATAAAAATAAAAGCATAATTATGAGTTTTAATTATGGATAACAACTATTTTCTGACCTGGACTCTAGTTGCTCACACAATTGGGCCTTAAGAAGTGGCAGTGTTATCACATTTGCACAGATAATTCTAATATTCAAGTACTGTACAAAGAATCAGGGAGTTGAGAGGATATTCCACATGAAATTACCCATAAATGTTTTTCCAACTGTTTCTACCCCACATTTCATTTACAGACAGAAATTTACATGGCTTTAATTAATTAGGCAACATGTTAACCAAATATGAATCAATGAACTGATATAGGCTCTTTAATAGACACCTATGTCCAAGGCTCTCGATCTGCAGTATTACCTATTAAATACCCTGTTTATATAAGGATAATGGTCTTATTAAGCTTCCAGTTAGCTTACTACCTGACCTTTGCATAATGGCCTAATGCCTTCCATGGCACATTTAGCTCCTCAGGGGCAGAGCTGTCTTTGATGGCTGCATCCAAGGGCAGGTATTGAAGTTCTATGGCTGCAGAAATCAAGCTACTTCTAACAAATTATACAGCTATTTTAGGACTTTTGTTTGTATGGAAATTCAGCTGATAGCCCCAAATGCAGGTACTGTCTGGGATAGAACTTATTTCCACTACTGTTTCCCTGAAAATAAGACCTAACCTGAAAATAAGCCCTAGTAAGAGTTTTCAGGATGCTCATAATATAAGCCCTACTCCAAAAATAAGCCCCAGTTAAGTGAAACCCTGTCCTCCACCACTGTGCAGCAACCAGAAGATGATGACATGACTGTATTTGAATAACTTTAGATTGTTGTACATGAAAAAAATCCCCTGAAAATAAGCCCTAATGTGTTTTTTGGAGCAAAAATGAATATAAGACCCTGTCTTATTTTCGGTGAAACACGGTATTTATCTATTTCCACATCCTCTGCAAGGTGGGACTAATTCAGAATTAAACAAAATAGGGTTTAGATAAATGTTGCATACCACTGTTTCCAGTACAATTCAAAGTGATGGTTCTCACCTACCCTGCTTTCCCCAAAACAAGCAAAAATCTACATTTATTCAAATACAGTAATGTCATCTTCTGAAACATCATAATAACTCTCCAAATCCTGAAATCTGGCCTGGATTTCTTGTGACTCCCTCTAAGAAGGGGGGAGTAGTGGTGGCAGTGGTGATGTTGCCATTGAGGGCCCCAACACGAACGGCCCTCAAACCCCTTCCACCGCAGGACCAGACATGTTCTATCTCGTTTCGGGAATGCACTTGCACTAGAGGGAGTTGGAAGTATGGATCCCACTGGCCTGCGTGGACAAGATGTCAATCCCAGCACAAGTCCCTGGTGGAGGGTGGAGTTTCACTTAACTAGGGCTTATTTTGGTGGTAGGGCTTTTATTACGAGCATCCTGAAAAATCATACTGAATCTTATTTTCAGGTTAAGTCTTATTTTTGGGTATAAAGTCCTAAATGGCTTGGGTCCAAACTATCCCAAGGACCTTGTCTCCCTTTAAAGGAGTTGTTAAACTTGATCCCACCAGCTTCACAAGTGTGTTTCAAGGGGACACAGGTAAGGACCTTCACTGATCCCAAACCCTGGAACTCGCTCCTGCAGGAGGCCTGGCTGGCCCCATCTTTGCTGTCCTTCAGCAAGCAGGCAAAAAACTTTCTCTTCTGGCAAGCTTTCTCTGACTGCCTGAGTGGGTTATTTTTAAAAAACTTATTGTTGTACTTTACTGCTTTGTATGTGTTTTGTACTTTACTACTTTGAATATATCTTGGTTTTACTTTTACTATTCTTAAGAGTGGTGTGTGTTTGATCATTTCAGTAGAGTATACTCATTCTTGTTAATTTTACATAATGTCTTTTAATGTCATAAGCCGCCTTAGGTCCTCATTTAAAGAAGAAAGGCTGAATAAAATATTTTAAATACAGTATATAAATAATAAACATAATTGTCTTAAGACACTTCTGCTCACAAGCCACCTTTAAAATATATTTTTTAAGTTTAATAACTTGATAGATACAAAATTTTACCTTTCAGTTGCTATTACTTAAAAACCCCAAAATATCACAAGCAGCTAAACAATAAAAACGGCTACAAAACCAACAAGATGTCTCAGACTCAATATGTGGAGTGTAGAGTAGTGCTTGCACTAGTGTGTGTGTGTGTGTGCATATACACACACACCTGCAGCATTGCCTTCCCTACCACCGTACCCGTAAATAACTGGCTGTCACAAATATATATCCTACCTAGAGGATGTTTTGGACCCAGGAGGTCTGGGTTAAAATTGAAACACTGGGGGGGGGGGAATGGGACTTTGTAAACCTTCTTAGGGTCGCTGGAAGCCAGATGCGACCCAAGGGCACATAACATACTTCTCTACTCATGAGCAGGTCCCATTATGCCCAATGGGACTTGCTGCCAGGCAGCTATGTTTAGGGCACTTGGGGTTATCGGCACATTGCTCTTCCGTACCCATTAGTTTCCGAATAACTCACCATAGAACTTAATCAAGAAATAAACTGTCCTGGGGGGGACCATGAGTGAATCCTAAAAGGACAGTAGCATCCCCAATAGCCACAGAGGAATGGCCACTCAAATTACTGTTCGGGGCGGGGCGGGGGAAGGAAGAGCGTTTCGGACCCGTGCCAACTTTCTTTTAACTACCTTTCCCCCCGCTTCACCGGCTTCTAACGGTACGAGGGGCCGGAGAACAGGGGGACGAAAAAAGGTCCTGAGCCGACCCGTACCGCCGTGCAGTCGCCTCTCACCTCCAGGCTCCGCTGCAACAGCGCTGCGTTCGGCTGGGTGCGCGCAGCCCGATACTGCGAAGCCGCCAGGAGCAGCGACTTCATACAAGCCGAGGCGTCCATGACGCTACTGCTGCTGTTTTCAAGAACAGGCACTGACGCTGCTTCTCGGCGTTCCCTCCGTCTCAAAAATTCATGTTTGGCGCCCTGGCCGCCATCTTGATACGGTCACCTCCTGCCGGAGAGCGTGACCGGCCCCTCCCCGCCGAACCCCAGTGCATGCTGGGGACGGTAGTGCTACGCCTGAGGTGTTTGTTCTGCGCAAAAATAAAGGGTTTAAAATTGCGTGGAAGAAACCGGAAAATCTCCCCACACACTGTTGCAACCGATGTTTTCGTCTGTGACGAATGATGGACCTTGGTGGTGGCTAAGGCGCCTTTCCCACACACCAAACACCTCTTCTCAAATTCTCTCTAGTGACAAAACCATAGAGAGATGAAGGAGAAACAATTCCCTCCCCTTTCCCCTCCCCCGCTTTCCCGCCATTTGCTGGAAGCGGTTTTCGATACGGCGCCGTGGAAACGACCTTAAGGGGCTCCAGAAAGAGACCCGTATACACCCATTTGTTTTGGTTTCGTGACGTCCCTGAGGCAGGGTCTTAACGTGCATGATACTTCTACAAACTGTTGGTCTAGGTTTCCGACTCGCCGGGTGCCTGTGGTTTGTTCGTCTGCAAAGCGAATGTTAAGTCCCTTTGAAGTTTCTGGGAGGCGGCTTCGATGGACGTGTGGATAGGTTACGGGGCGAGACTGTCTCCTGTCATCGTTCACCTCATTTGTGAAACCGTACGCGATAAGGCTGTCTTCTGCTGTGCCATACGAAATTTTAAAAACCACCTTATTTGATTATTTATTTAATCATTGCAGGGATATCCGGCTTTTGCTCCGATGAGCAGCGTGAAAAACCAGCCCACGAAGGGCATGTGGTAGAAAGTTTTTCACAAGCACAGTGTTGTGAAACCGCCACTTGAAGTGCGACAGGAATCTTCCTTGCAGCAGAAAGTAATGTGGGCCACTTTTGATCACGTTACAGTGATCCAGATTTTTGCTGTTTATCTCCTTGTTCCCCTTGTGCAATACCCCCACATTCACGTTTATAAATAATTTTAAAAATTACTTGATCCATTTGAGAAGAGTTCTAGTCTACAAAAAGTGACGGCACCACAAAACATAAAGATACGACAGATCTCCTTCGGTACTTCTAGGTTGCATATTTAGTGTGTCCTTGGACTATGACATTCACTAATGCAGGGAATGTATTCAGAGGAACACAGTAATTGTGTGGCTGGTAGTGCTTATGTAGCCACAATTCTCATAATCCTTGTCTGCCTAAAACTGGGCATGAAATCCTCTTTCTCCAATTCAGTTTCCTGCTGTTGGAAAGAAGTATTCATTTATTCACCTCCTCAATTTGTGCTGTTAAATGGCCTAACACAACTATCAACACAGCACAGACCCAAGAATCAAGTTAACAGAAAAAAGCAGTTTCTAGCACTGTTAGTCCCATAGTAACTGATTTCAGTTTTCAGAAAAAAGCACAGTGTAGCTATTACAGGTATACTGTAATTTTAACACTTGGAATTGTTCTAGGGAAAGAACAAGATCAGAAGAAAAGTGAGTAACTGTCATGCACCCCCAGTGTCCCGTTTGTTTTCCCACTCACACAGGTTCACCTGCAGACACAACTTGTTCTTTTCACACTTTTTCGCTGCCACCAGAGGACATTACGCTCAACAGTACCAATTATGAATCTCAGACTATTGCTGCCAAATGTAACAAGGGTTATTTATGGTTTGGTAGGAAAATCACAGAAATGAAATCATGGATGTTCTTTTATTATTCATTCAATCAATGTGGATTTGATTACATGTGAGCTTGCTTGTATTCATTCACTTTAATCAAGGTCTCAATATATTCTGACTGTCCATGTATTTCTTGCAACTTTTAACTCTTTTATATTCTCTAACACACCAACATTCCAATCTCTTGTCTAAACACTTCACAATCTTCCTAACTGACTCCCTGTCCTGTCATAGGCTCATGCACTAGAGCTCTAAGGGGACTGACAGGAGTGACGCGTGGGGGCTGTCTGCCACAGTAACAAAACATGCAGGCTTGTTAGCAAAAGGTTTTCCAGATTTGGTAGACATAGCCTGAGATTAATTTCTTCCAACAAAGTGGTTGTGGGTCTTGCACTGGATAGACAGCTCTGAGTAGCAAGGAGGCTTTATTTTTAAATTATTATTACTATTATTTTTACGGACATCATCATGGCAACACTGATTTGGGATGCGTCAGCTCTAGCACAATGATGTGCTACATCTAGTCTCAAAGATATTACAACATATTGTCACATACAAAATGCTTCTGATTCCTTTCATTCTCTTTCCCATTCTCTTTCAATAGCACCTAGTCATGTAGGTCTCCGGAGCAGTTTTACTTCAGTATTCCCATTCCTGATTGCTGGATATTTGTGTGGATCCTTGACATGTGTTTGATAAGTTCTTGGAGTCTCCATAATATTTTGTTATTGTTTGTATTTGAGAAATCAAGTCCTGGATGAAATGTTACCTTGCTGTGGTGACCACCCATGTGTGGTTGCTCATTTTTAATCTATTTGCTCTGCATAGTATTGTCTCAGATCAACATGGGCCTCTTTGGTGGCTCCAGGGACCAATATTGCCCCTGAAAGCCTTTAGGGGCTGCACAGACTGCCAAAAATGCTTTTAAAATGCAAAAAGAGAAAAGCAACTGGATAGATGTTTACTACCTGTTCTGAAAAAGTGCAAAAAATGAATTAAAAAATGAATTACCAATATAGGATAGTAGTAAATTAATTACTTCCCCTGCTCAGTAGAGGGCAGGGAAAGTGGGATTTTAAAAAAAACCCACTATATATAGATTGTTGCTGAGGTACTGCATCAGTTTTCTTTATCTTCTTTTAAAAAGTTGGTTGAGAAGCTGCCTGCAGCCAAAGGCACAGCTATAGATTCAACTGCAGTCAGTTTCTTGACTGGCCCTTTACAACAAGGCACAGAAAAGATTAGTTTTTTTAATATAATTGATGCAGCGCCTCAGTGATGGTGAACTATTTTGAGCCCGAGTGCCCAAACTGCAACACGAATCAAGATTTATTTCAAAGTGCCAACCCTGCAATTAAAACCCAAATACTGAGGTTTTAGTTTAGAAAAAACAACTGCTACTGAAATGCAAGGGTTAAATGCTTGTGGTTTTTTTCCCTATGGGCGGTATTAACAAATACATACTTACTGGTCCTCCAATCCCCCATTGGGCTAGACTGGCAATAGTCGCCATTACACCTTTCTGCTGGACCACTGCACCAGCAGAGGGGAGTGCCAAAATTCGGGATCAGATAGCGGGTAAGTATTTCTCAGCGGTGACTTATGGCTCGCATGCCCACAGAGAGGCCTCTGTGTGCCAGCTGTGGCACGCGTGCCATAGGTTTGCCATCGCTGGTCTATATGCAGTCAAAGAACTTTCCCACTTGCCCTGCCCTCTGCCAAGCAGGGGAAATGATTGCTCTAAGCCACTTCACGATATTGGCACACTGAAAGAGGAAAGGTTGCTTTAGGTCAGTTCCAGTGATTGCATGCACTGGAACCAATCCAAACCAGAGCGATCCTCCTTACACCAGAAAAATAGATCCCTTGGTAGGGATCAGAAAGATGTGGGTAGGAACACTCTGTGTGTGGACTGCTGTGTTCTAACAAATAACACACCAGTTTGTCCCTGCAACAGAACACATAGTGGTCTAGTAAACAGACCATGTTGTCTGCCTCTTAGCATCAGCTGCTATTTCCTGTGCTTGCAGTTGTCTAATTGTGTTAATATATTCAACATAAAGGTGTTAAATCCTGTGTAAGCTAGGTGCTACCATGTTTCACGTCGGCTTCTAACATGCTGTTCTATATACAAAGTCTGAGTAAGCCAAACAAGGGATTTCAGTGACAAAAGGGCAGTTACTTAACATGATGGAGAAAAATATGTTTCCTGTTGCTTTAGCAATTAGGGCCTGAGCCAATGGTTTCAGATTTTATAATAGAAGAGGTTTAAACCAAAGGTAAGCAGAAAGTAGATTGGGATCTACTAATAGATCTGTGAGTGGTCTGTAGTAGATCAGTGTTTCTCACACTCAATAGGATTTTCCCCCTAAAAATAAGTAGTGTTCAGTTCTTTCCAGAAGGTGGTTATAATTCTGGCTGGATTACTGTAATGCACTCTACGTGGGGCTGCTGGGAGAAAGTGTCAGGAAACTCCAGCAGGTCCACAGAAGGCAGCAGCCAGATTGATAACTGGGCATTACATAACTCTCCTGTTAAAGCAGCTCCACTGGCTGCTAATCCATTTCCAAACAGAATTCAAAGTGATGATTCCAATTTACAAAGTTTTAAATGTCTTTGGCCGAAGCTGTCTCAAAGACTGCATCTCCCTTTCTGAGTCTGCTGCTTAAAATCATCTTTCACTTGGTCCCACCAACTTCACAGGGGGCCGTACTGCAGTGGATGCAGGAAAATGGGCTGAGGCTGAACCCGGACAAGACGGAAGTTCTGAGGGTGGACACCCTTGGGGTTGGTGGCCTGGGTGGCTCTCTCACATTGGGGGGCTGACCCTGGCTGCTAAGAGTGGGGTTCGCAGCCTGGAGGTACACCTGGACCCGACGCTCACCATGGAAACCCAGGTGGCGTCGGTAGTTCGCACTGCCTTTTTCCACCTTTGGCGGATTGCCCGGCTGCGACCCTACCTTGACATGGGGGCGCTCACTACCTTGGTACATGCACTCGTAATCTTTACTGGAGTGAGAAAACACCAACATATTTCTCCTGTTATGGCCATGCTGCACTGGCTGCCCATCTGTTTCCGCATTGAATTCAAAGTTCTAATGCTTACCTATGCTTACCTATAAGGCCCTAAATGGTTTAGGACCTCAATACTTGGCGGAGCGCCTGCTCCCACCAAGTTCTACTCGGATCACCCGCACAAGTCAGGAGGTGAGGCTGAGGAGCCTGACGCCGAAGGAGGCCTGGAGGGAAAAGACTCAAAGCTGGGCCTTCTCGGCGGTGGCTCCTTGCCTTTGGAACAACCTTCCTCCGGAGATTCACGAGGCCCCTACGCTGGGTACTTTCAAATGCCAGCTGAAAACATGGATGTACATCCAAGTCTTCCCTCCTGTCAACTACTGATTTCTTTTGCTTTGCTATTTATTATTTATTTATTCCTGCACTATTTGTTATTGTTGTATGCTAATGTTTTTGCTTTTTAATTGTTTTGATATTTTGTAAGCCGCCCACGTCGTGAGGGACGTGGTGGCGCTGTGGGCTAAACCGCAGAAGCCTGTGCTGCAGGGTCAAAAGACCAAGCAGTTGCAAGATCGAATCCACGCGACAGAGTGAGCACCCGTCGCTTGTCCCAGCTCCCGCCAACCTAGCGGTTTGAAAGCATGCAAATGCGAGTAGATAAATAGGGACCACCTCGGTGGGAAGGTAACAGCGTTCCGTGTCTAAGTCGCGCTGGCCATGTGACCACGGAAGATTGTCTTCAGACAAAACGCTGGCTCTATGGCTTGGAAACGGGGATGAGCACCGCCCTCTAGAGTCGAACACGACTGGACAAAAATTGTCAAGGGGAACCTTTACCTTTACCTAAGCCACCCAGAGTGGTAGAATATACCAGATGGGCGAGATATAAATTGAACAAACAAACAAATAATTCATGTATATTTATAGAAATGTGCTAGACAAAATAACTATGCATATTCCTATGAAAAGGAAAGAGTTGAAAGTATTGCTAGATACTGAGAAAAAGGTGTTCAGTTGCAAATCAATGTTGTTTATATGTAATTGCCATCTCAGTATTTGTATCAATAATAATTACAATTTTATTAATCTTCAAAACTGTTGTTTTAATCCATATTTTTATTTGTATCCTATTAAAAAACCCTAATTCCATAGGGAAGACAAGGAAAGCAAGCTGTGGATAATTTATTTTTTTATCCTTTTTGTCCTTAGTTTTGAAAAGGGCTCTATCTGGACTGCTGAAATAAATTAAATAGTTGCACCTTATGTTTATGGAAGTTCCATCTGGGGATATTCTGCCTGTGTTGTAGTTGCATGACAGTCAGAATTGTAGTTCCCTTCAGCAAATGCTGGGGGGAAACTCATCAAGTAAATTCTGCTGGTCAGGTAACTGTTAAACACAGAGATGCAGGTAGATGCTGCTTTCAGCCTTGTTTTCTAGGTAAAGTGGCTTCAAGTTGCTTGGGAGGTCCTTTTAGTGGAGGTGTGAGTGGAGTTTGGATGGCCAATGACCAAGGATGCTTTCCATCAATGGTGGAGGGTTGGACTAGATGAGCTTTGAAGTCCTTCCAGTGACAGTTTGGAATTGCAGTAAAAATATGTATTTATTTATTCAAGGTGGATTATAGTTAAAATAGATCTAAATTGTTAAAAACAAATGTAAACAAATACATTGGAACATCACAGCTTAAAAGCACTCATCAGAAATAAAATGCATCATAGCATAAAAACAATTACCAGGAATAAATGAAATCAGTTTTAAAAGCATGGAAAGATAAAAGGTCTTTGCCTAGTATTAAAATGACATCAAAGCAGGTGCCTGGTGAGTTACTCTGGGTTATACGTGGTCATTCGTTTTCTGAATATGCACAAGTACCACATTACTTTTGTATTGACCCACAGCACTATTACATCATATTGCTAATGACTTTATCAACTTGAGAAAACATTTCTCAAGCATCTTCTGACGTGGACCAGATAACTGCAGGCTGAAAAGTTTGAGAAAAAGCTCATAGGCCAGAAAAGACATACTGTGTAAAGAGAATCTATCTGCACTTGTATCATGAGAACTAGGTAGAAGCAGCCACCTGGGAGGCTCATATAGTGATTGTCCCTTTAGATTTATTTTCAGTATGTGTCTGCTGGTTTTACATATTTTTCTAATGACTTTGAGTGATTACATTTAATATGATCCAGGAGCTGAATTTAAATAATTGATATAACATGTACAATTAGGCTCTGCAAGAGCTTTCTGTTTGTATCACTCTGGTGCAGTGGTTCCCAGCATTGGGTCCCCAGACGTTCTTGGTCTGCCGTTCCCAGAAGCCTTCACCACTTACAGTGCCGAAAAGGGCTTCTGAGAGTTGCAGTCCAATAATGTCTGAGAATTCAAGATTAGGAACACTGCTCTAGTGGCACTAGCTGATTTAATATCAATAGCATGATATTGTTCTAGTAAAGGGAAGGCAGAAGCACATTGTAGAAAAAGATCTCTTTGCCTTTTTAGGGGAGTTGTGATAATTAAACTGTAATTTCAGAGAAGACCATGAATTTGTGAAAGTACCAGGCTCAGATGAATTCACTTTAGCAGATCACATAGGATTCAGTAGAGAGAGCAGAAGAAATTGCCAATCTGAACTTGTTAGTATCTTCTAGAGGTGGCTTCTTTGTCCAATAGGCATGGCTGTTGTAGAGCTACCTTAACAACTTTCCAACAAGGGCTGGCTGCCAATTTCCTCCTCCTTTGCTTTCTTTCCTCTTTGTCCTCAGGTACCAGCGCTGGCACCAAGCCTTAGGGGGAAATGATTTAAAGACAAATGGGTTCAAGATAACTGACATCCCCAACAAGTGTCCCTTTTCTTCCTGTCTCCCCATTTTAAGGCTGTTTGAGCTAATATCTGATTGCCCATTAGATTGACTCATGTGATCACATTGTTTGAATGGATAGGAATATATTTGATTATTTAAAAAAAGCAGAAGTCTCAGTGGCAGATGGAAAAAGTAAGAGGGCAGGGAATCCAGGCTGATTCACATTGACTTATTTGTCATGAAGTCAGTGGAAAAGAATGTGAATTAAACCATTCCAATCCCAGAGCATTTCCCAGATTGTTTGATAATGTAGTTGCACCCTGGCTGACTAATCTTGATACTTTTATTAAGTTTTTCCTGGAGATTTTAATTGGTCTACTCTAACTATAACTTTGGATGTTTTATTGTATATTGTTTAGAAATTCAGGTAAAAGCATCAAGTAAGTAATACCTTTAGGTGTGTCAGTACTGTCAAGTGCACAAATGTATACAAAATCCAAAATCCTGTTTCTCTGAAAACAAGACCTAACCTGAAAATAAGCCCTAGTATAATTCTTCAGGATGCTCATAATATAAACCGTGCCCCCAAAATAAGTCTCAGTTAAGAGAAACCACCCTCCACCATTGTGTAGCAACCAGAAGAAAATGAAATGATTGTATTTGAATAAACAGAGATTGTTGTACAGTACATGAAAAAAAAACATCCTCTGAAAATAAGCCCTACTGCGTTTTTTGGAACAAAAACTAATATAAGACCCTGTCTTATTTTTGGGGAAACACAGTAAAAGGAATGGAAGATCCTGTTAGCATTGATGTATCTCACTGAAGACTAATGCCCTTGTAAAACTGAGCAAATGGAGATGAAGGAGGTCACAGGAAAAGGTCTCTCAATCTGATTAGTCAGGCAAAACGTCAACATAATCAGTGTCTTCAGTTTCTGTGGGGTGGAAAAGATAAACAGATTTAATATTCTGATTCTAGTGTAGAGAAAATCTTGAAAAATATACATATCAGGCTACAGTTTCTAGATCTTCCACTGGCCACGCTGAGGATAAAAGCTAGGAGCAATCATTTGAAAAAGAAGACCACTGTTAATGACCCATGATAATGGGTGGAGAAGGACTGCAAGGTGAGATTTTAACTCAAAACACCCCCCCAGTCAATTGTCCATCTAACGACCCTATTCAGACCAGGGGGAAGTGAAACCAATGGGGAAGATACGTTAGGAGTCTCCTACCAACTCTCCTCAGACCAAAGAAGCTACTTGGATGAGTAGTGAAACGTTTCAACTTCATAAGGAAGAAATCCAGTTGCTGAACGTCCAGATAACCTCACTTGGATGACTGAGAATCTTCACAGATTTAAAAAAGAGTAACTTTTCTAAGCACTGGACTCATGCAAGGCTAATATTTTATCAGCAAAGCACAAGCAATTATATGTAGAAATCTCTAAAGGTCTTATCATGATTTCATAACAATTCTTCTGAATGTTCATAATTAAGGCAGTGCTAACATGGGATGAATGTAGAAATTCCTGAGCTGGGATTTTATTATTAACTCCACTGGGGGTGTTTTTTTCCTTAGGAAAGAATAGTCCCCCTGATGTGTTATATTTTTATTCATGCTGTAAAAACAGCTTGTAAATTTTAGACAGTAGGACATAAATGATTGTTATTCTCATAAACTGTTACGCAGTTTGTGCTTAGCTCTGCTGGCTAGGTATGGGGTTTGTCCAAAAAATCTGGAGGCAACATGGTGCCTACCTCTTTTTATTTGTTACAAGATCCCAATATCCATAAATCACATATTTCTTCCATAAGCCCAGTTATCTTTTATGAATATTAAAGTATGGCTTAACCCTTGTCCCAAATGTACTCTAAATTTTCAGGTTATTAATTTAGCCTCGTTTTGTTTACCTCTTGTGCTCTTTAAATTTCTGCTCTTCTATAGTTCACATGTAGTTGGTTTTTTAAATAAATGGTTCTTCACAGTCTGATAATGAAGCATATAGGTTTTTAAAAATGCAATCTGTGAGCCAAAATATATAATTTGCTTAATAATATAATATAACATTGAGGATTATTACACTTTTGGGTCCTTTTTTAACTTGCAGAATAAGCGGCCCAGCCTTTGCTTTCTTATTGTTTTGCATACGCTTAATTGAAATTCCTTGTGTGGGATCTATTGCCTCTTGCAAAGCGAAATACAGTACGCCTATCCAGAGAAAGCTTCCAGTGTGGTGGAAGAATCTTGTTCTTGGAATGGGAAATGAGACTATTTTTGTTGCTTCTTCTTTCTCTTAGGCTACAAATGGTCCCTAAAAAATTTATTTTGGTGAGATGGGGAACAAGAGTGATGAGGGAACTTGGGAGGGTGGGGCGTGTATAAAACTCCAATTCCCCAGCAGTGATAATGTTAGGTACAGAGGAATACGATAACTGGTAGAAGCAAAACGCTGGGTTCAACCTTCTGCCTTTTCATTGGCTGATCATCAGCAAGGCTATCCTAAAATAAAAAATTTAATGCAAACAAGAACTGCCATTTAAATGTCTGAAATTCAACCCTTAAATTATAAATATAATTCTGATAATTTTTTAAAAATTGTGTAACCATGTATCTTACTAGTTGTTTGTCCAATGTGATATATTTAGTTGGAATGAATATATTTATGTAATGTGTCATTAATTACATCGGTGTAAATATTTTATTGTCATTAATTATTTAAACATGATCCTGATAATTTGCAAGTAACATGAGAGAAATCCTAATCTTGGTTTAGGAACTGAGGCTACATTAGTTTCTAAGAGGAGTGCATACATTTTCAGCTCTCATTTATGCTATGTTTCATTCAAAGGGTCCCAACTAGTGTGGAGCTATGAAAATAAATGGCATTTACTAGTCACTACATATATAATTTCCATTAATTTCAATAGGTGTACTCTACCGCCTAGAGTGGTCGAAATGACTAGATAGGCGGGGTATAAATAAATAAATAAATAAATAAATAAATACATACATACATACATACATAAATACATAAATAAATAGTTGGCACTAACATTATAGCTAACCCAAAGGTTTTGTAGTAGGTATGGTCAGACTAACTGGTTTGGCATTTCACACTGCTTCAGCTTTCTTCTAATTTTTAAAATAATTCCTCTGTAGTACTGTATTTATTTAATTTTTCACAAACCCAACCAGTCACTCACTTATCACAAACTCAAAAATAATTTCTCTTTGAAGAGGGAAAAAAAGTCTGTCCCAGATTGATTGGACCTACAGTATGTATGTGGATTTATGTATGTATGTATGTATGCATTTATGTGGATGTTTGCAATAATTCTTGTGATAGACAATCAGACATCTTTTAATTTGCTTCTTACTTGATGCTTTTTAAAAATTCATATGCTGATTAATGGTTCCTCTTTCCAAAATGCTCCTGTCTTATGTGATTCATGTACCTATTATGTCTTAAATGAAATTGACTTTTACATACACTCAAGCTTGAAGACACAGTACTTCTATGTACTCATCCTGGCTTCTACCCCCCCTTTTTTTTAACAAAGTGAAGCCGTAGCAACTGAATTCTCTTTTTTTCCTAAGGTGGAGTATGCCCTTAGTTTTAGTGTCTATTTGTAATAAAATAATCAAGAGCTTTTTAAAAATATCTCGTTGGCTTGGGTGGGTGTGCTTTTCTAATTACTCAAAATGCTTTTAATTACAGCATAGATGCTGCACTGTGTTTAGAAGCTCTTGAAGATCTCTGTGTTTTAATGTTTGGTCTGGCTTTCCTTGGCCTTTTGCATTTTTCAGGTTCCCTGGAAATTACTGTTGGATATGTGTTGAATGCGAGGGACGTGGTAGCGCTGCGGGCTAAACCGCAGAAGCCTGTCCTGCAGGGTCAGAAGACCAAGCAGTCGTAAGATCGAATCCACGTGACGGAGTCAGTCCCCGTCTCTTGTCTCAGCTCCCGCCAACCTAGTGGTTTGAAAGCATGCAAATGCGCGTAGATAAATAGGGACCATCTCAGTGGGAAGGTAACAGCGTTCCGTGTCTAAGTCGCACTGGCCATGTGACCACGGAAGATTGTCTTCAGACAAAAACACTGGCTCTATGGCTTGGAAACGGGGATGAGCACTGCCCCCTAGAGTCGAACACGACTGGACAAAAATTGTCAAGGGGAACCTTTACTTTTACCTTTATGTGTTGAATGCAGGAGTTGAACGATTTAATTTCATCTTATTTTTCAGTCCCCATTCCTTTGAGAAATTCTGTTTTACTTTCCTTCTCCTCCAGTTTTACCTTTATAACACTCCTTCAAGGAAGGTTAAATGAAAATGCTGGCAAATAGGTGCAAATTTCCTACTTCTTATTTGAGGGAAGGTTTGAATCTGGCTTTTCCTAATTGTAATCAAGTTCTTTTAACTGCTGCTATCACCATACCCTTGCTTTCTCCTTTTGTCTTAAAGACAATTTTATTGGTGAGGAAGCCCCTATTTCAGATTTTAATCATGATCTCTGTCTCAATAACTGATTTTGTTAATTTTAAAATCTATTTGTTTTTCTTGTATGATGAAATTATTATAGAATATAATATTTCTCGTATGATGTGTTTATTTGTATGTACATCTCTTACCAGGAATCAAATAACTGTTATCGTAGATATTCTGAGGTTGTTGATCAGATGTGGATCTGTTTACAGGGTAGCGCAGGTTGATTATTAGCCCTTGATTTGGTTTTTCAAAGGTAGCTATTAAATCCTTTAAAGTTTTGAAGTCCTGTTTTGGAGCACCTTCACAAGTCTACAAAATAAGAATATTACTGTTAAGATTAGATATCTTCCTGAAATTTATGGATAATAATTCTCTTGGACCCAAGATTTATATATAACTGGCACAGCACTGAATATAGAGTGACCCCACAGTAAGTATTTTTCTTTTAAGAAATAAAAACATATTGACCTTGCCGGGTTTTTTCGCTACATTCATAGAGAATCCGGTTTATCAGGGATATGATGCCATCATGGCTGAGAATGATACTCCCTATAGTAAAGTGACTGAAAGACATTTTAGTTTCTTTGAATAGTTAAACATGTTTTGTTTTGTTTTGTTTTGAAGGTAGTATACCAGTCACTTAGAATAGCCTGTGCATTGTTGGGTGTATGATGAGGAATGAATCAGCAAGGACATACTTATCAAAATATTTTAGCATGTAGATATAAAGATGTTTTCTTACCTGTATCATGAAATGTCCATTATGTTTTCTGAAGATTCGGTAAGTGTAGATAAAGTGCTCATACCTAATTTTTAAAAATAAGAAACATGTAATAATTTGTGAGATCACTTGAATATTCATACATGGTGGGAAATCAAACACATTTAAATCTGTGCTTTGTGGCATAAAGAACCATCTAGTACATACAGACTCTGTAGTAAATATTTGCCATATGTTTTCACATTATGCCAGAGGAAAGCTGCAGGTGCCGTCAATAAATTCTCTGTTCCTCTAGTAAACAATATCTAACCACTGCTATAATTAGATACGTAGCATTCTAGAAACAGGTATATGTTAACATGCGCATGAGCTTTCCTCTGAAGTTGGCTGGGATTGGCGGCAGTCCTTACTGCCTTCTGATGAACTAGATAAGAACTTTTGAACAAAGGAAGAAGCATCTCCAGTGAAGGTTAAAGTTAGTTTTGTTTACTTGTCTGCAGTCATGAATTAGGATATCGATGTTAGGCAAACAAATATTGTTTCCTTTTAGTCTGAACAAAATTATACTGACAGATTAAAATGGGTATATTGCATAGAAATCATACTTTAGTACTGCACTTTAGTACAGCAGAAAATACAAGTAGGCTGAAATCCTCTTGCTGAGCATAGTAATTTGCAACTAGAGCAGGCTCATTAAATCAACAGAATGCATACAGGAGTTGACTCACCAAATCCACCACTGATTCAGTGGACCTACTCTAGTTGGAACTTACGACTGTAAAAGCAGTAGGAGTTTAACCATTGTTTTAACTTCCAGGAGTATTTGTAAATACTTCATATGACTTGTTGGTCCATTAGGATCATTACTGATCACAATTGCCACCATCCAATACATTTAATTCATATATGGAAGCTGTTGTCCATGTGTACTGTACACCATGCTTCTGGATATAGCCATGCCACATCCAAAAGGGTGCTTATCTTACAATGTGTGTGAAGAAGAGATGGTAGAGACTGGGATACTTTCATATGAATTAGGTGAGCTGAACATCTCTTACTGGGAAACACGTTGAATTTAAGACTTTCACCAAACTTTTTGGTAGAAAGGGTTTAAGTACCACTGACTATGAATACGTAAGGAGCCTTCCAACTGATTAAATGCGTTAGAATATGGGTTCTCTAACCTGGGAGATTTTTAATAGGCTTCCACTAACTACTCTTACTGCATATATTATCTTGTTCTTGATTCCGCCTTTGAGTCTAGGCCAGATTCCCAGAGTAAATTTTCATAAAGGCAGAATTAATTTTATGCATGCAAATTCATTCATACTGGGATCATATCTGTACATGCTGAGGAAAAGAACTGTTGCAGAAATAGCACCGTTCTTCCTCAAAACTCCAAAAATAAAAAAGATTGGATCTGATTCTTGAGAAGTCATGCTTATGGTCCATAAATATCATAAATCAGACACTTCATAGGCAACTACACTTCTCCACATTTGACTTATTATTTTCAAAGGAGAGAAACCAAGATAAGTACAGTAGTTTATATAAATGGAAATACTTACAAAACACAAAGGCACAAAACTCCTGGTATACTCTCACTGGCTCGTATTAGAAAGCTTCCGTTTTGTCCATTCTTGCTCAGTAGTTCTTCACAGCCTTCTTTAGTTATATTTTCGTGGAAAAACTGGAGTTCCATTTACCTATGGAGTTGTTCCCAGATTGATTCTTACGATTTAGGTCACTGGAGGACCAGTTCTGTACTGAAGTGAAACAGAACTGTTGAGCAAAGGATGTTGAAATCAATACGGTGGTTTTCAGCAGTGTCGTGTCAGTTCTATACTGTGATGAAACAGAACTGTTGAGCAAAGGATGCTGAAATCAATACGGTGGTTTTCAGCAGTGCCGTGTCAGTTCTATACTGTGATTGTCTGATTGGGGTTTGGTGTTTTTTTTTCCTCCTGTGTAAAGCCTGAGAAGATGGCACAGGAAATTCAAACTGATAAATGGATTAGTCGTCATCAAAGTCAAGAATGCAGTCTTTTCTGTTTTGTTTTATTTTTAATTTCCTGGTGGTTGAGACAGGAGTTGCCAAACCCAATTAAGTTATTCCCGTTCATACATTTTTCCCTGTTTCCTTTCACCACAACATGTATGGCAGGCATCTAGCACTAAATATACTACTGTCAAACTGTCTGGATAGCTCAATGTGATATCTAGCTGCAGAGCCAGTGGCTGGGAGTTCAGTTCCCCACAGGCATCTCAGAAGAATTAGCCTATGTGGCCTTGGACAAGCTTCACAGTCCCGGAGCATGTTCAGAAGAGGGGGAACGGTAAACCACTTTTCAGTAGTCACTGTCTAGAAAAATCTGGAAAGAGTTGCCATAACTCAGAATTGACTAGAAAGCACACAATTATTATTATACAGGTAAAGGTTCCCCTTGACAATTCATCCAGTCATGTCCAACTCTAGGGGCAATGCTCATCTCCATTTCCAACCCATAGAGCTAGCGTTTTGTCCAAAGACAATATTCCGTGGTCATGTGGCCAGCGCGACTAGACACAGAACGCCGTTTACCTTCCCACCATGGTGGTACCTATTTATCTACTTGCATATTGCATGCTTTTGAACCGCTAGGTTGACGGGAGCTGGGACAAGCAACGGGGGCTCATTCCGTCACATGAATTCGATCTTACGACTGCAGGTCTTCTGCCCTGCAGCACAGAGGCTTCTGCGGTTTAACTCGCAGCGCCACCACGTCCTTATTATTATACAACTGTCAGCTCTTTGGTCTTGTGAGTGCAGACTAATCCATCGCGAATATATGAGCCTTAGACTTAAGAAGAACTAACTTTCAGTATCTTTTTGTATGCAAAGGTCCAAATACAGAACAAAGTCAATCTAAAACAAATGAAAAAAAGTGTTTAAAAGATTGGATGGTACTGTTCTCAATCTTCCATCAAAGTGTTAAAAATTATAATCTTAAATTGCTTGCTTCAACAGGTAGTAAGTCCCTATCATGTCCTGCTGAAGCAAGAATATTGGGTTTCTATACTGGGTATTGACAAGTTGTCCCAGTAACTCAGTAATTTTTAAAAATATCAGAAGTGCTGCCCATTGTTGTATTTGTTCTCAATTGTAATATATAATAATGTCCCACATTTTGACTTCCTTGGTCTGAGCACTTTTGCTGGTGTGAATGAGAGAGATGTTGTAAAGGTGGTGCAGGTTGGTGGAAGGGATGCTAATACACAGTCTCTGGGAAGTATTTGGCATCCACGACTCTGCAAAAAGAAAAAAGAAAAAAGAAAAAGAAAAAAAAGCTGCTTCTCTGTGGGTGATGCATAGGCCAGAGTATCCTTCAAATCTGCGTCCAGATAACATTTTCTGCTCATTTATGTGAGACCAAGGGTGAGAAACCAGCTGTTCTCGCTGGAGTGCCGTCCTGTCCTCTCCCTATAGAGAAAGAGGGGCAGACTTCACCCGTTTCCCAACCTTGAGAAATTGAGACTCCGGGAAAAGACTCCATTTGTGTGGAGAAGGAACTACAAGTCTTGACGGTGGAAAATGTTGGTGGGAAAAGAGCGGAAAACCTGAGTAGTGGCGGAGGTGGGGTTTGCAGATATAAAGAGGGGAGAGGGGGAATTGCCTACAGGTTGGGAGTGGATCTGGATGCAGGACTCATGGACTGGGAAGTGGAAAAGGCTTCGTATACCTAAGGAAGAGGCGGACTATAGGAAAATGAGGGAAGTGACTCCAAGGCCATCTTATTGGGGTGAGACAGAGGCAATACAGGCAGCGAAAATGGCTGCCATATGGAGGATCTTCACTGGACGGTGAGTTTTAAGCCCATTGGAACACATTGAAAGGTTTTCAGTGCGTTTCAATGGGCTTTTTATTTTCACTTTACAATGTTTTCGCTTAACCACGATTTTCCTGGAACGGATTATCACCGTTAAGCGAGGCACCACTGTATCTTACTTTCCATAGCATAATTTTCTACTAGTTAATCACATGTTGTTCAGGGCTTCTGGCAGGATCAAATGTTTCTGAAAATTGTCAGCTATATACACACATTGTAGTCATAAGGGGAGTAGGGAATGTAACCATGGAGTCTGGAAGAAATGAGAAGGGAAAGGTACTGTTGTAGCGGGCACACTGAAGCCTCTATTATCTCAGGCCTCCAGGAGGTGCTCACTCTTCTTCTCAGTTGCTGCCACCAATATTTCAGTTTCAATACCAATTACTCAGTGAGACCAGTGTTGCTTTAAAACTTAAACTTGTTTATTTGATCAGTAAAATATAATAAGTAAATCACAAGTTGATAATCAATTTTTCTCACACACTAAACTCACTGACACACAGAACCCTACTCTCAATGACTTTCTGGCACACTCTCTCACAGACTCACAGATCTCTCTCCTTCATACTCCATACACCCCCTTTTATATCCCAGCCCCTCCCCCTTTAGCACCACCTTCCATTCCCTCATTGGCTCCTTTTCGACTGCTCAGCGGTGACGGACAGGTGAGGGCACGGCTGAACGCTACAACTGTCTGGGACAATTTAAAACTTAAATTATATGATCATTCACAATCTTGATAATGGAATCCTCCTGGTACTGGCAAACCCCACTTATCTCAATTCAGGCCATTCATGATAATGCTGATAAATTGTTCTTGATCAATTGTAGTTCACTAATTTTATGTTACTTTGATGTTCTTTTATTCATGAATGGCCAACAGCAGTAATGTTCAGGGAGGTTGAAGGCTCACTCAACGGGTTTTAGAGTGTCCATTTTGTGTAATTTTATTCTTCTACAGAGACTTACCTGTTTATTCTACGTAGAATGCAGAAAGGCATTGCTGGAAGATGACATACTGAAAGATGTCCAGATGCATGAACCACTGACATTGTGGCTGGTGTTCATAGATTCTGCACCAGAATTGCCTGAGTAGATGTATAGATGGAGTTGTTATCTGGATTTCAGACAAAACAGGAGTAGATGGAAACATGGTCTGATTCAGGAGATGATGGCATTATTTCCTAATATTCTGACTCTCCTTGGTGGGGACCAAGGCACAGTACCAGTCAGGTCATGGACCTTTAATATCAGCACCAACCCTGTTAGACAGAAGGATAGCCCACTCCTTACATAAGAGTAGCCAGTGGTTAATATTTAACTTATTATTGATGCATTTTGATTGGAAGGGGTAGGAAGAACATTTCTATGCCTTGTTTTTTTTTTGTGGTTTTTTTTTCCAAGTGCCAAAATAATGTATCTTCTTTAGATGGTGAGAAGTGCTATTTGCTCTTCTATTTCAGGCAGCAAAATGTCTGGGTGCAAGTCTTTCTGAATATCCCCATCCTGATGCTCTCATTATGGCCCAAGAACCAGCAGATACAATAGTTGAGGTACAGAAGAATTTAAACTGGAAAGGGACATAGTATAAATTGTTTTTAGCATGTACTGGCTTCTGGTTCATCTGCTTGCTTGCTTGGCATTAATAAAGTTTCTGTCTGATATCCCAGCTGAGTCAATTTGAATTCCAGACACAGTCTATGCTCCTGATACCTGATACTCACATGTCACTGGAAGCTATCTGAAATTCTATGACAGCAAGTATCAAAAGCCTTGCTTCAAAAGCAGAATGTGGAAAAGTTACTATTGGTTACTCTGTGATTCCCAGAATCTCCAGCCAGCATATTGTAGGCTCCAAAAGGAACATTTCCAACTTCTTTTTAAGAGTTCCTGCCACGTGCTGTAAATCTTTTTTTGCCATGGGTTATCAAAAAGTAAATGTGAAGAGATTTTCTGAACTCTGCACCTGACTATTTACTGTTGTAGCTTCCTGCTGCTTTCCTCTATTGACATCTTTAACATGCATCTTTCCCAGAATATGCTTGTTCTTTTTCTTTTACCTTGTTCTCTGACCCCTTCCCATGTCAATAGAAACTACACCGTATGAAACAGCGGGAATGTGTTGTAGCTAGCTCTGGCAGTGGCACATGGCAGGTACTTTCATCATGTCAAATGCAGAGACATATTTTCGAGGCTAGAATACATGGGGTTTCATTGCCTAGTATCTTAGGATGTCTTTATTAGTAACGGTTTCTTTGATAACTCCCACACATTCTTGATATATTTCATAGAGCACCAGCTGCCAGACAGTTTAAAAACGTGTCAGGTCATCTTCCTTCACCTACTCTGCTTTGTCAGAGGTTGCATCTTACTCCCTTCACAACAGTTATTTCAGATTTCTGACATTTTTAGGTGGAAAGAAAAGTAAGTGTAGCTCTTTCTGTGGCAACAACACACTGTTCCTGGAAAGGAACAGAAAGAATATAAAGGCTTCCCATTGATTTATCTAGAATAATACAGTACTGTCTAGCCCAGGTATGGGAAGATCTTTGCTTTGAAAACAATAGCTGAAATCCCACATGGAGCTACATCCAATAGAGTCACTTGTAGAACAGAGACTGATGTAGAATGGTAACTCATGGGGGCAGGGGAATACTGCACCTATCATACCTGTATCCTTGTGCCACACATAGATATAGAATGCATGTCCAAGTACACATCCACATGTGAGAAGACAGATTTGGTATTAAATTAGATCCTGGAAAAGTAACCTGTTTGAATTACAATGCCCAGAATGTCCCAGACAGCAGGGAGCTGTGTGTCACAAAAGTAATAGTACCAAGGTCTGGATTCAATGCAAAAGCAAAATGCAGGACAAATACACTGGACCTCATTGAATTCTAAGCTATGTGACAAATGTACTTTAGCAATTATGTGACAAATGTACTTTAACCAGCAACTTTAACCAACTTTAGCTCATTTCCATGGTTTACTTTGCTAGCCCTTAAGGACGTCTGTTTATTTTCATTACACATGTGAACTATGAAATAAAACAAACCTTGATTATAGTTGTT